AATTGATTAGAAAAAAATTGAATAGATTTTATATAAAAAAACATGGTACATTTAACATATAACAAATTGGTATATTTAAGAATGAGTACATTTTAAGATTAAAAAGTTTTACATGAATGGGTACATATAATTAGCATGGGTACATTTTGCAAAATAAAAAGTACAAATAAAAAAAATATGGGTACAAACACAAATAAACTTTAAAAAATATGGGGACAAAAAGAAATTAATATATGGGTACAAATTAAAATTGAAAAGAAAATTGGTACAAATTAAAAAAATATTACAAATTAAAAATGGATACAAACTAAAACTAAAAATATTTGATAAAAAATTTAGTCATAAATATAAATATACTAATTGTAACATTTTTAACATTAAATGAATATATCTAGAAATAAAAAAATATTTTATTATTAAAATAATTAATGATGTTATTAATACCCAAGGACCTTGATAAAAAATTGAAAGGGAATATGATTTTAATCAATAGAGTATCAAAAGGAAGGATGAGAATATAATTTCTCCTAAAAAAAAATCTTTTGGGTGCTTTGTCTCCACTCCCACCTTGAGCTCTTTGAAACAGAGCTTTTAGCCCTTTGTCTCCTCTTAAGCTTTTAGCCAGTGACTGAGCTTTTTGAAATTTCTCTCAGAATTTCTCTCTTCTCTCTCGCTTGATCGTATTACAGGTGCAGCCTTACAAATGTAGAGAGAAAGGCAATGGTACAAGGTTAGAATATTATTTTTATATTATTCTTGTAGGCTTAATTACATCTATGGCCCCTTAAATTCAATCCAAATACCTCATGAAATTCAAATTGTGTCACTTAATGCCGTCCAAGAATAATATAAATTCTACCTCGTTGACATGATTCTTCCACGCAAAATGGAATGAGTGGATGGGATTTGCTTCCCGCATTGACCTAGTCTCCTATCCCACTCAACTCATATTTTTCCCTAATTTCCTATCTTTCCTCGATGATATAGCCAAACCTAGACTATCATCGATTCACTACCATCGTCACCCCATCACCGCCGTTGCGACCACAACTCAGTCCTCCCTCTCAAATCTTGATCATCGATCTCAAACTCAGTGACTCTCCTCCCTCTCGATTCTCAAACTCCCACTCGAATCTCGATAACTGAGCTTCTTCCTTCGGCTCATGTGGAGTCGACACCGACCACCATCATCAGCTTCTCTAAAACTCCAACACCACTTAAAGGTTCTTGTTGAAGCCAAATCTTCAATCAAAAGGTATTCAATTTTAGGAATTTAGGAAGAGTAACTTAGGGTTTTCTAGATTAGGGATTTTGGGTTATTGATTTGCTACTAGTGTATGAGTTTCAATATTTAGATTTTGTGATATTCATGAAGATGTGATAGAGTTTTCATTTCAGTTATGAAGAAAAAAATGGGTGGAGATGCATAGAGGTGTGTGCAGATTATGTATTGGTTTTAGATTCAATAGATGGATAGAAAGCAAAGAAAGTAGGGGTTGCAGATTATGTGTAGAGATGCAAAGAAAGTCCATCACTAGAAAATTTGTGTTTGTTTCTTTCCATCTGATTCAATTCAATTTTTTTAATTTTATTTTTGGGTAAATCTTTGTTTACTACCATCATCTTTTGTGGTTTTCAACATTTAGTACATCAAGTTTTTTTCGTCCTAGAGTCATACCTAAAGTGTAAATTTTGGGACAGTCTCGTACATCCGTTAGTCAAATTGTTAAGTCTCCTGTTAATTATGACGTGGCACCCATGTGAACAATAATTGGGCACCACATGTCATCCACGTGAAAATTAAAAATAAATTATTTATATAATAAAAATAATAAAAATAAACCTTCATCTTCCCCAAATCCCACCCGTGCCCACCCTCCTATCACCCACCCACATCTTTGTCTTCCACAAATCCCATTCGTGCCCACCCTCCCATCCCCCGCATCCTCTACCTCCCTTCTCTCTTCTGCAACCCGCACCCCTTCCTTCCATTCTCTCTTCTACAACCTGCACCACCCTCCCTTCTCTCATCCTTCCTCCCTTATCCCTCCATTCTCTCATCTGCACCAACCCACCAAACCATCATCTCATCTCCTCCTGATGCACCAAACATTCATCTGCATAAACAAAAAATTACACCGTTTTTGCATTTAAACAAAAGCAATTCGAATTTGCGAATTGTCTTATCTATCAAGCAAACAACAAAATCCAAAGAAAAGGGCAAATAGGAGGGCCACCTATCACCGACACTGCAAAAAAGCAGTGGCAAAGTGTAATTTAGATAAAAACACAAGCTACAGGATGTGGACGGTCTCGGCGGCGGTTTAGGAACCCTCGGGATGTGAGATCTGATGGTAGCCAGAGTCGACTCGGCTAACTCCTCCAAGTTACACCTCGATAGCCTCGGCCTCTCCGATTCCGTCTCTTCCCTATTCGACTCGGAGCCGTCGAGCTTCTGATTCTCTGGATTTGTCGGAATGTCGGCGCATTTCACTCCCCTCTTCAGATTTCTGATCAGATTCGACCTTCTGGTGACCTCCATTAGTCCCTGAAATCTCTGCGATGACGAAAGCTCGCTGTTTTCAAAACTAATCACACGATCCGACATCGTTTTCTTCAGCTCCGAATTTTCAACCTCCAATAGCTTTAATTTCTCTTCTTTCTCAAAGACGAGGAAGAGAAAGGATCAGGTTTAGGGGCCTGAAAGCCGTAATAGTTGGTGTGAACCGAAGTGAGGTGCCTGCGAGCAAGAAGACGACTTGGGAGGCGTTGACTGAGAAAGGTACACCTTTCCAGTAAGCGGTTGAGGGATTTGGAGACGTCGAGGAAAGCTGCCGTTGTCTGCGTTGCTACAGACAATGTGGACTCCATTGGGAAAATTGCCGTCGAGAAGATAGGAGATGAGGGTTTGGTGGGTTGGTGCAGAGGAGAGAATGGAGGGATAAGGAAGGAAGAAGGAGGGAAGGGAAGGTGGTGCAGGCTATAGAAGAGAGAAGGGAGGGAATGGGTGCGGGTTGCAGAAGAGAAAAGGGATTTGGGGAAGACGAAGATGTGGGTGATGGGAGGGTGGGCACGGGTGGGATCTGGGGAGATGAATGTTTTTTTTTTGTTTTTTTTTATATATTTTTATTATATTTATTTATTTTATAAATAATTTGTTTTTAATCTCTACGTGGATGACACATGGCGTCCAATCATCACAGTTAATGGGAGATTTAAACAGTTTGACTAACAAATGTACGAGATTGTCCCAAAATTTACACTTTAGGTATGACTCTGGGACGAAAAAAACTTGATGTACTAAATGTTGAAAACCACAAAACATGAGGGTAGTAAACAGAGATTTACCCTTTATTTTTATTGTGTTGGATAAAAGATTCATGTTCTGACCAAAAAATTAATTTTTCCATCTCATTCAGTTCAAGTTAATTTTTCCATCCACTTCTCCGTTGGATAAAAGATTCATGTTCTCACTCGGCAAGGAAATAATAAACATATACAGTAATTTGTTCGGAATGAGCTGTGGACTCGGCTTGAATTGGCCTGTTTCAAACGAGCTGGGTAAGGTCTGGTTCTAAATTAAAAAATTTCCATTACCCGTGTCGACCTGTCCCGTTGCATATTTAAACGGGTCAGGTCCAGTTCCTATGAATTTGGGCCCGGCACACCCCGTACCTACCCTACTCCCAAGTGTCAAAAGTTAAGATTCCATGTCTAATTGGTTCTTTCTTTGTTTATTTTTGTTAGAAAGACAATTAAAAAATGTGAAAGTATCATAAGTTGTCAAGTCATTACTAATATGAACGGGCATATTCTGCTGATTTGTTACGAATGTCGATCCATAGAATAAAGGACAAACTTCGTATAAGAAAAGGAGACCAAATTATTTGTTTATCGTTGACCATATAGTATATGTTAGATACAGGTTTAGCAGCATCAATGCTATACAACCCCAATTCAAGCTGAAGCATTTTTCTGAAGGCTTCCCCATTTCAATTCAAGTAGTGAGTTGTTAATTACTTATCCTTTGTGTTCACTGTTTCTTTCTTTCTTTGTTTTCGCTTTTCATACGGGTTAGGTCCGATTCCTGTTAATTTAGGCCCGGCCCGTCCTGTGCCCACCCTTACTCCTTAAGGGTGTGTTTGTTACACCTTCTTAGAAGAGACTAGCAGGGATTGGCTTAACTAGGACTATAGTCCCGTGTTTGACTTGGTCTTGGATTAGAGTTAATGGGACTCGCCTCGACTACGAGGCGCCCCGCACTTCACTAAACCTCAATATCTAGTCCCACCGTTTCACTTGGTATTAAGCAGGACTAACAAAGAAATGAACCGACGACCTCAGCCCACCCTTTCTCCGCATGCGTCTCTCTCTCTCGTCACAAATCCATGTGATGCAGCCATTCCTCTGCAGCCCCCAAAATTGATTCCCACCACTCTTGCGGTGCAGCCTTTCCTCCGCCGGTGGGAAACGGCGGTTACAATGCCATTTTTTTTCTTCTGGGAAGCGTTGTTGATGGTGTTGGGTGTGTGGCAGCTTACAAAACTGGGTATTTCTAGGTCTCTTTCGGGCCTGGTTATTTCTAGGTCGATTGGGTCTTCGAAAATATGTTGTCGCAGACTAGTGAGTTGCTGCGGTAGGGAAGCAATTGAATCGCTTTAATAGATAAACAATTGAATTGGGATAGAACATCTGGGTATTTCTTTATTGTTGGTGTTGGAGAGTTGCTGCGATAGGAAATTAAAAAAAATTGCTGGCAATTGAATTGGTAGACGAAGCATCTGGGTCCTTCTTGGATAGAGAATAGAGAAGCAATTTAATTAGGTTTTTTAAATTTAAAATAACTACAAAATAACATTTTATAATATAAAATTTAATATTTTTTCATGTCTGCCTTATTAGTCCGGCGCCATACCAAACACTTCACTATTTTTAGTCCTGCTTAGTCTAAGCCAAGCCAGTCCAGCTTAGTCCCTGAAGTTAGTCCAGTCCGAGATAGTCCGGTGCAACAAACGCACCCTAAATGTCAAAAGTTAAGATTCCATGTATAGTTGGTTCTTTCATTGTTTATTTTTGTTGGAAAGACAATTAAAAAATATGAAGGTATCATAACTTGTCAAGTCATTGCTAATATGAACGGGCATATTCTGCTGATCTGTTACGAATGTCGATCCATAGAATAAAGGACAAACTTCGTATATAAAAAGGAGACCAAATTATTTGTCTATCGTTGACCATATAGTATATGTTAGATACAGGTTCAGCAGCATCAATGCTATACAACCCCAATTCAAGCTGAAGCATTTTTCTGAAGGCTTCCCCATTTCAATTCAAGAAGTGAGTTGTTAATTACTTATCCTTTGATTCACTATTTCTTTCTTTGTTTTCACTTTTCATATATAAACACATGATCATCATCTACCCATACTAAAATCTCCTTTGGATAAATTGACAGATTGAGCATGGCAGCAGAGTTGAGCGGATCAGAAAACTCAGGTAGCGATGCAGAGTTGAGCGGATCAGAAAACTCAGGTAGTGATGCAGAGTTGAGCAGATCTGAAAACTTAGTTATCTATCATCAAAATTAGAGTATTAAACGTATATGAAAGGTTCTCTTGGTTTCCTTGTGTGTAAGAAACACATGGTCACTCACTCTTGAATTTAATATCAAGGGTGGAATCATGGAGGATAAATGAACATGATATCAAGGTATTAATCTCAAACCGTGAAATCAAATTCAAGGGTTAGTAACCATGAACCCTTCATCATCAAGTGACCAAGAAATCGAGACTCGACTTGTTTATTGCTATCTTGTGCATTATTTTCTTTTATCTTCCTATTTAAAATTTTAATTTTAGTTTTTCCCCATAATCCTTGTTTCACATTAAGGTTTTAGTATCAAAATCTGGATATCAAATCCAAGAATTAGAGATTGTTGGGTGTGTTGGGTGTCGAGTGATAAAAGTTGGGTGTGGAGAGATGGTTGTGTATAAATAGAAACTATTTTAAAATCATCCATGTACTTAAGAAGTGATTTTAAGTTACTCCAGGAGAATTGAAGAAGAAATAGTTAACATATAGTATAAAATGACATAATTATTACATACGTACCCTTGACAGATGAGATCCCGCATGAGTATCAAGCTTTCTGCGCTGCTGTAAGGAGGGGTGATTGGGAAGAAGCGAAGGAGTTCCTTACCCTACACCCCAATGCAATAACAGCAACGGATTCATGGGGGACAGCTCTTCACAACGCAACAAGATTCGGGCACGAGCAAATTGTGGAAGAGCTGGTGCAGTTGATGACGGAGGAACAATTGGAGATGAAAGATAATGATGGTTGGACGGCTCTTGCTCGTGCTGCAAGAGAAAACATCAAGATGGTTGAATGCATGGTGACGAAGAACAAGAAACTACTCGGTATTGCCGCAGAGTCCCTCCAAAAGACTCCGATTGTCATCGCTGCTCGGCATGACCAATGGGATATAGTTCGGTACCTCTACTCTCTCACTCCACCCCAAGATCTAATGCCAGATAAAGGCATTTACGGTTCTGAACTTGTTAGAATTTGTCTTAATGCCAGACAATTTGGTAACGAAACTACTCTTAACCGAATCAAATTTCTGCATTATACACACACAGATATATAATAATTGGTCTAAATACATACGTACAGATATTACATGGGAGTTACTTCAGCGTTGCCCACGATTGACATTTACTCGAGGCAACCAAATGTCCCCTATACTTTCATTTGCTTATTTCTCCTCTGCATTCCCGAGTGGGACATCGCTCAAATTCTGGCAACAGTGGATCTATAATTGTTAGTAATATCTTCCCTTTTCTCTTACTACCATCAAATTTATCAGCATTATATGTAGCATGTACAAATGTCATCTTCCACATAAAGGGTTTCATAAGGTAGTCTTCCTAATGTTTTTCTTAAATCTTATACCATAATGGTATGCTTTCATCCACAAAATCTGTTTTAAAATATCTACAAGGAGTATTTTGAATGAGGAAATCTTATTTCTTGGTAGGTATACACATAGAGTCTGGTCATTCCGTCAATGCTTTCCGTATAAATATTCAAAATCAAGAAAATGAACAAGGTAATCAAAGGAGTAACACAGGTATGTTACACCTCAAGACTCTTATTACGATTTGATATGTTGAAGTCCTTTTCATATATCCTGCTCTTCTTCGTCTTTCTTGTTGTAGAATTTTTTTCAATTATCCATCTCCTTGTTTTTAAGGATTAGTTAAGTGATATGTGGTTTGATGGAATGGAATCGACAATGAAATGCGGTCGGCCTATCCGAACATTATAAGATACAATAGACAACTAACACGGCATATCTGAATTCAAACATGAAAATCAAAAAATATATATAAAGGGAGTACACCAAAATGGTGAAACATTTGAACATCTCTAAAATATCATTACTTAACAGAACAGACATTTGTCTACCCAATTAAAATAGGGTCAAAATTATAAAATGACACAATTCGCATAACCGGAGTTGCTACTGTACGTATAATGTTTGCGCACATCTTAAATTGACAGTTTTCAACTATTAGATGAAGCACATCTATAATTAGAGATCGATCGTAAAACAATGTGGCCCCCTTGATCAGTCCTCCTGCAAATAGTGTACCACATAGCTTGTGTGCACACTTATAATTAATTTATGGGAGGTTTTAATTATTCATTCATTTTTAATTTTTAAAATGATTTAAAACTAAAGAAAAAAATAACAAGAAAAATTCTACAGTCATCATCGTACGGAAATCATGAACGCCCTGCACAGATTTGTCAAAATTGATGCCAAGTTTGAAGGAGGCCCTAAATTCTCTCTCGATTTTTCTTCCCAATTGCCGCTCGGATTTTTTTTTTTTTTAATTCTGTAGTTTCCAAATTCGAATTTTCCAAAAATTCAATTATTGTTCTGAAATCCGATTACAAAAATCAAAATTTGATTTTACTGTTATGAGATGATTCAACGGTTCGTTGATAACATCATCGCCGTCACCAAAGAGTGAGATTCTTCCTTCCCCTTTAACCAATCGATTCGAATTCGAATAGTTTTTTAATTTCGAATTTGGTTTTTTTTTTTGGAATGGTTTTTGAAATTGGGTTTTGATTTCATGGCTGCAAAAGGCGCAGCCGTCGTAGTGGTCTTCGACTGTTGTTACAGTGGAAGAAGAAGGAGGGAGGGCGAGGGGGAGGGCGGAGGGCGGAGACATGGCAGATTCGCCATGGCACCCGAAGAAGAAGATTGGTTAGGTGGAATTTTTTTTTTTTTGGGAAAAAGGCTTCTTCACTTTTATTACAAACTAAACCATACACATAAGCAAACCTAAGGCCCAAACAATACAAATAAACAAGCCAAACACGAGCCCAAAAAATAAACTACAAAGCGCCAACCAGAAGTTGAAGCCCAAAACACACAAAAGACCACAAACACCAAAAAGTTCTACACCAATCGCCGCCGATCTCGATCCGACCAAGTCCTCGTCCACAGCCAAGCATCGCCAGAGTAATTGTAGCATCTCACCTTGATGAACGTCCCGAGCCCAGCCACAAAGAAAGGATAGCCAACAAGTGGTCAGAAGAAGCCAACTATCAGGATGAAGTTTGTGGCAACCCACGAATAACACTGCCAGAAAAGGCAGAGACAATGAGAAGGTGGTGGTGTTGAATACCCGAGCCAGTGGGACCATCGGAACTCTACACACCATCTCGAAGCACCGCAACAAATCGTGGTTTTGAAGTGCCTGCAGATCAGAGCAGAGATGAACAAGGAGGAACGCCGCTGAGGGTAGGAAGAAATGGCCAGATTAGAAAGATTAGAAAGTATAGCAGGGGAGAAAAGGGAGAAGCATCGGAAGAAGCAAAAAGAAGAAGAAGAGAATAAAGAGGAACTGGCAGAGAAGGGAAAAGGATGAGAAAACAGGATGGGGAAGGGAGAAGGGGTGACCGACTCCAGCCGAAGCCAGAGTCGGCACCGGAGAAGGTGGGCAAGAGATAGACCCTCACCAAAACCTGGGGTGGGGGGAGGAAGAAGCTCTCACGGAAGGAGAGAAGGTCTCTCACATAGGAGAGAGAATTAGCTTTGACCTCTTGGCTGGGTGGAACTTTGAAGACATAATTGAAAGGGGTGGCGTGGGTGAGTGGGTGAGTGGGTGTGTGGGGGTTGGGCGAGTGGGGAACTTGAAACTTTTTATTTATTATTTTTGTAATTATAATGTTTTTTTTTTAAGGATAAAATAGAATTTCATTCATAAATAACCAAGTCATACAACGACACGTATATGAAAACGAATTCAAAAGACCTATGAACAACCTTGACGAACAAAATGTAGTGGGAAAAAACTCGATGAAGGAAAAGAGGCCTCACATGCACATAAAACTTCCACCACATACTCGACATGAATAAGGTCCATAAGCCACAACGGACCAGTATCCACCCACATCGACAACTCACGACATTCTAGGCTGAGCTGAATCATATTTGGAAAGAGAATTATTATTGACACTTCAAAATTTTCATTATGCACTCTAAACATTTTATAATTAAAAAGAAAAAAACACTTGTGAGTAGTGTAAATTAAGATTTTTGAAGTGTTAATAATAATTCCCTTTGGAAATTGCAGTTCGAATGGGCTAGCTTCCAAAATCTATGGTTTCATTTCTCTAAAATAAATAAGATTTGCATTTTATTTTTCTTTGCTTATGCCATATATCATCTAATCAGCATATAAATAAATTTTGGTAGCAAAATTTGATTTTATATTTGTGTTGCAGTCCTGGGTTTATTACAAGGACTTCCATCGAGGTTTTTGGAGTTTTTGGGTATGTGGATATTAATTTATTTATTTTTCTTTACAGAAAATGATAAACACATAGTTAATTTCTAACACACCTTTATTGAATCCAATTTGTTGATTTCGTTTGATTTATCAAATCCGATGTGTATAAATTAAGAGAAGTTTGTGAGAACCTAAAAATTGTGTATGAAAATCAGCTTGCATTTTCCATTTGTTTAAACTAATAATTTATTTATTTATCTTTTTATTTCGTAAAAATGTGGTTGTGAGTTGTAAGTTTCATTGTTTTGAATGTCAACGTAGGAATCAAACGCATTCGTGAGCTGAAATTAATCCATATTCGGTCGCGTCAAATTTTGGACTGCATGTGTGACGTGATAAAACATTTAAATCGTGAAGAAATGAAAGACGGCTATGTATACGACGCAATATTTGTAGCTGTTGAAAATGGGATTGTTGAGCTCGTTACTTCTTTATGTAAAGCCAGACCAGAACTGTTATTGAGAGTCGATCGAAAAGGAAAGAACATATTTCATCACGCCGTTGAATGCCGTCAAGAAAAAGTTTATAGCCTTTTATACGGGGTTCGTCAAAGAAATCTCATTACGAATTTCATAGATGATTCTGACAACCACATGCTACATTGTGCGGGGATGTTATGTCCACTGGCAACGGAAAAGCTTGATCGTATCCCAGGTGCAGCCTTGCAAATGCAGAGAGAAAGGCAATGGTACAAGGTTAGAATTATTTCCTTTTATATTATTCTTCTAGGCTTAAATACATCTATGACCCCTGAAGTTCAATCTGAATACTTAATCTCATGAAATTCAAATTGTGTCACTTTAGACTTTGAAATTTAACCTATTTCTCACTTTGTCACATGCCGATGCCGTCCAAGAATAATATAAATTTACCTCATTATATGCTTAAGCTCAAACTGTATCCATGTATCAAATGATGCGACATTTTTTTTTCTTTTCTAATTACTGAAAGAACACGATCAACTAATATCACTACGGTGCATAATTTTTTGTTCAATGAAATGCAGGAGGTAGAGAGTATTGAATTCCAACTCTCGGGAGTCTCAAATAAAAATGAAGATGGTTTGACACCCTCTAAATTATTTACCAAGAACCACGAGAAATTGCATAAGGATGGAGAAAAGTGGATGAAGGGAACTGCAGGTTCTTCTACGGTTGTCAGTGCCCTCATTATTACAATCATGTTTGCTGCAGCATTCACAGTTCCTGGTGGAAATAACCAAGAAACAGGGTTTCCTATATTCTTAAATGAAAAACTATTTATGGTTTTTATAGTTTCAGATGCAATTTCGCTCTTTTCTTCCACAACTTCAGCATTGATGTTTCTAGGCATCCTTACATCGCGTTATGCTGAAGATGATTTCCTCAAATCCTTACCCACAAAGATGATAATAGGCCTTTCCACACTCTTCATCTCCATTGCGACCATGATGGTTGCCTTTTCTTCTGCCCTATTCATCATGCTCCAGGACAAACCATGGATTACTTATCCAATCATTTTCTTTGCTGGTGTTCCCGTCATTTTATTTGTTTGGATGCAATTTCCCCTTCTCATTGATATTTTCGTGTCTACTTTTGGCAGAGGAATATTCGATAGGAAAGTCAAACTCTGGATATAATTTCTTGGTGGTGCATGTGATATATTAATTGTGTAAGTTGTAGTAATGTTTGTTACTTCTGAGAAAGCTTGTATGCATTGCACACACTATGTAAGTGAGTGATTTCTATAATAAAAACCCCATTGCTCAATTTTTTGTGTTTTATTTTCGTGTCTACTTCTGCTGATTCCTATAATAAAAACCTCATTTATAGATAGGTTTAATTTTGGAGTTTCTGAGACTCGTAGATATGGCGGTGCAATTGTGCGTGAGATTCTGTCTTTTAGGAATCGAAAGAGATGTTAACAGGAGATAAGTAAGGTGTTGGTTTGGTATTGTTGTGCTTTGAAAAGTAAAAAAACTGTTTTTGCTGTGCTGTGAGAATAAGCCCATTTTTGCTGCTTCACGTTTTCGGCTTTTTTTTCACCAAAAACTGTGAAAATAAGCTGTTTTTAAGTGTTTACCAAACACCATTTTGAACTCAGTTTTTTTTTTTTATAACCACTTTTTATAAAAGCACATCAGTACCAAACCAGTACTTAGTTTGTCATTGAATTGGCCATGGGTGGTTATTCTTCCAAAAACAGGGGAACTGAATAGTATAGAAACAAAACAGGGTTCCTTGTGGAAGGCTTCTCATAGTCATAGATGGGAAATTCTATTGTTTTCAGACTTGTTGATAAATAGTGAGTCTCTTTAGCTTGTCACTGAATCTTGGAGTCGACTGAAAGATGGAAAAGGGGTACTAGTTATTGGTCAGCAATTTCACTGTTCCTCTATAATCCAACAAAAGGAAAGAGCATTTTTTCTTAGCTTTTGTAATCCAGCCATTGGGATCCTCTGCAATATCTTACATTTTTCCTCTGCAATATCTTCCACGTTAAGGAGGCAGATTCTCTGCCCTCCCACTTCCCATGTCCTCATGTGCCATCCTGTTTTGTGTGGTCACGATTAAGTTACGTCAATATTTTATATTTTTTTTATAGAGATAATAAGACAAAAAGGAATAGTAATATAAAATGTTGACGTGGCTTAACCGTGACCACGGAAAGTGAGAGGGCAAAGAATCTACCTCCCCACGTTAATCCATATTGTTTTCCACGCAATATATTACATTTTTCCTCCGCTCATTTTCATGTTTTAAGAACGGAATTCAGATCCTCTGCATGCTTGATTACAATCCAAAAGTGTGACAAATTTAAATCAAAGAAAAACTAATGAAAAGTTAAAAAAAAACTTTAGTTTTCATGAAAAATGACAAATAAAATGAGTAGTGAATAGTACCCAATAAAAGTAAAAATATAATTATGATTTTTCTTTAAAAGTGAATAGTACCGGAAGTGTTTCGTTAAAACTTCTTTTAATCAATACTAAAGTTAAAAAACACAGTGAATCATTGTCATAATCACAGTGAAATGACGATTTTGCCCCTGTTTAATTTTTGTTATTGCATGTCTGCCACTGTCTGAGAATATATAGGGGTGTGCAATTCACACATCTCATTTTACTTCTCACACACCCCTTGATAATTTATGTCCGTTGATCTTCTTCAATTTGTCCGATCTGACGGTCGAAAATTAAAAAGGTGTGTGAGAAGTAAAATGGGATGTGTGGATATCACATCCCAATATATATGCACACTTTTATAATTTTTTTCCTTTTCTTTTTCTCTCTTCTCACCCTTCCCTCTCGGTGTTCACCCCACAACTCACCACTGTGGCTGGCGACGAGTTTTTCGTTTCCGGCGACTACAAACCAACTAAAAACAAACCCCCTCTCACATTCAATCTAACCCTCAAATCTATTTCTAGAAATTCTCAACCGTTTTCGATTATTAAGTTGGTGCCTGAAGTCCAGCGATCTGTTTCCGGCTGAACGCTGGCGATCGGACCTTGCTGCTACAACCAGTCGTTTAACATCCGTCTCAAAAACCAAAATAACCCGTTGCATGCCTCGATTCGTTACGGTTCAAGGTGAATCGGAGGTAAGTTGTTGTCCAGTTTTTCCTCCAAAAGCTAATACGTTTATGAAAAATTTTCTTTGAAAAATCCAGTTTCCGACAAGATTCCTTAATCCACAATTCCTAAATAGTAATCCAATCACTTCGACCTTTACTTAGGAGTGATTTCAATTTTCACTCACTTAAATTTTTTTTTTCAATTTGTAAATTCAATATGAAATTATTAATTTTGCTGCTTTTTTTGTGGAGTAGCCACCAAAAGCCTGAGGATTCAGTTCGAGAACCTCTGTAAGTATGTTTATTTTCAAATAATAATCACATTTAGGAGTGAGTAATCATAGGACCAAAACTGAGCTGAGAATGAATTGGATTACAACTATTAAGTACTGGTTTGGCACTGATGTGCTTTTATAAAAAGTGAGTATAAAAAAAAGTTGAGCTCAAAAAGGTGTTTGGTAAACATTTAAAAACAGTTTATTTTCACAGTTTTGGGTGAAAAAAAAGCTGGAAACGTGAAGCAGCAAAAATGAGCTTATTCTCACAGCACAGCGGAAACTGTTTTTTTTCAAAGCACAGCAATACCAAACCAGCCCTAAGATGGATAGTCGTTGTATGCAAGTTTTTGAGAAAATGGTATTGAGAATCTGATAATTTGGGAGTGAGTAATCATAGGACCAAAGCAAATCGAAATCGTTATTTCTGACAGCACTTCTTTATTTCAATTTCAGGGCTTTCCTAGCTTAGAATATGTCTTAAGAACCAAAATGTAGTTTTCGTTTTTAGAATATTGTCATTTAGTTTGCTCTAAAAATATTTAGGGACCTAAGTTTATATGGTGCTCTCGCCTCTGTGATGCAGAGCTGATCAAATCTTATGACTAATTAAACTATTGTTTATTTGTAAAAATGTCTTTAACTTTCAATTGGCTTTTGCAGTACGTTTGGGACCAACCTGAATTTGATATCATTACACTCAATACAAGAATTAGTCTATTTCCATCTCAAAAAGCAGCAGATGACAATTAAACCACCATGCATCAAGTAACCTTCACGCTCATATTGCATTCAATTGCTATCCAGACCAAAAGAACCTAATGTACATCATTACTAACTCAGGGTAGATTGAAAAGAGTTGTTAATTACTTATCCATTGGTTCACTATTTCTTTCTTTGTTTTCACTTGATCATCATCTACCCATACTAAAATCTCCTTTGGATAAATTGACAGATTGAGCATGGCAACAGAGTTAAACGGATCAGAAAACTCAGGCAGCGATGCAGAGTTGAGCAGATCAGAAAACTCAGGTATCTACCATCAAAATTAAAGTATTAATTTTATATGAAAGGTTCTCTTGGTTTTCTTGTGTGTAAGAAACGCATGGTCACTCACTATTGAATTTACTATCAAGGGTGGAAATTTCAAGATTTTAATCTCAAAGTTTGATATCAAACTCAAGGGTTAGTGACCATGAAGCATTGGTCGTCAGGTGACAAAAAAAACAAGACTCAACTGGTTTATCACTATCTTGTGCATTATTTTGTTTTATCTTTCTATTTAAAATTTTAATTTTAATTTTCTTCCATATAATCCCTGTTTCACAATAAGGTTTTAATCTTAAAACAATCATATCAAATCCAAGGATTACAAATTGTTGGGTGCTGCTGGGTGTCGAATGATAAAAGTTGGGTGTGAAGAGATGGTTGTGTGTAAATAGAAACTACTAGCGTTGTTTGCCCGCACGCTGCTGCGGGAATGTAACATCAAATGAAATATAAGTATAGTATATAAGAATTATAAGTGTCAGATATGAGGGTAAATGGCCAAAAATGTGTTGGAAGCATTGTGCTTAGATATAAATAAATTATTTACATAAACATGTACCAAGTATTTACATAAATATATAGTAGTTGTTGACAACTCTATATACCTATAAAGAGTTGTTCAAAACATTCAACAACTAAATCTCAAAATGTTTAGCTCAAACGAATAAACACATGCTCTACAAATACAGAAAGCTGAGTCATACAACCCAAAACAGCAAAAACAAAATAAACATGCTTCAAAACCCAGATAACAAAAATCACAAAAAAGGATCAATTGGGAGCTCAATTAACAGAAAATGAAAAAAGGAAGAGTATTAGAGATAAGGAAGAGTGTTAGAGATTCACGGTTCTTACCCAAATTTGAGACCACCCATAACAATTTCAATTTGTACATTCTTAATCAGCTTCACCAAGACGAATCTTAACATGCAACACAGGAATGAATCAAATAATCCGAATATGGACCCAAACTTAAATAGCTTACCTTTGCGTAACGATTGATTACTCATTTTCCAGAACACAATAAATGAAATTCAACCGTTTTTAAGGGTAACGAAATTCATTGATCTCCCTCTTATGGTAGAGCCTATAATCATCTTCTTCTTTCTCTTCACGACCATTGTTAATATATCAAGGTCAAAATTGTCTGGATACTTGTCTTGAATTCCAGAAACTGGGATTGTGAAAAAAGAAATCATGTTTGAGTTGTTCTGCTAAGCAAGTACACTAAAGTGAAATAATGTTGGGAAAACCATCAAAAGAGACCCACCTGGAAGCAAGCAGAACAAACGTTATGACTTCTATCATCAAAGTTGAGTAATTGATCGATATATATAACTCTAGGAAAATTGCAGCTCTTAAGGCAGATTTACGGCAGTGGGTTTCTCAAGGATTACAATCCGAGCCTGCATCATGGCACAGGTGATGGCAAAATATGATATCAATAAATGAAAAAAAATTCAACAGCCATCAAGGGTACAAAAAATTTAAACCCAAGATTCAGATCGCACTATTCAATCCCAAAAACCAAATAGTACATTTAACCGACCTAACACGATGGAAGGCAGAAATCAAATCTAGGAGCGGTGAAATTTCACGTATACATGCAATATGTTCATACCATTTTCCAAGCCATTTTCAAGTGAAAGTCGTAATTTTTATGTGTATTTACAATCTTGCACATTGGATGAATTTTATTGATGATAATATATAAGGATATAGTCACAAAGTCAGTCATAAAAATTGACTACCTTGAAAGACAGACCAATATATGATCGAGAGAGTGAGGGGAGGGCGCTCAAATCTACTAGTGATCAAAGTAACAAACCAGTCATCACCAAATGCTTTAACCAAAACACAAAATAACCACCAAACATCAGAATTCCAGAAACCAAAAATACAAAGCAAACAATTACAATAAAATTAGTATTTAGCATAATCAAATTAACAAACAATAACGTGAACCTTCATAGTTGCCTCCAGGCCAAATCTGGATCTATTCCGATGATTGATGTCTGGTTTACAAAGTTTCCAAGCAACTGGGACATGAAATCTACCTCCTCAACAGTTTAATCCCACTAAGAGAGGTCCATTCTCCCTCTGAAACAGCTTCAATATATACGCTCAATTTTTTCCCAAGGAACTTCCTCCATGCAATATTGAAATTCCAACTCATGCAACATTGAAATTCCAACTCATGCAACAATATGTAAGCACTTTCATCATTCTTCCAATTCCTATTTACATTCAACCACACAAAACAAAAAAACTCAATTCTTGCACACCAAACCGGATAAAATCCAAGCATAATCAGATTTTGAAAACCAAATCATCAAAAAATTCAAAATTTCTAAAACTTTTCGATTAGTTTTCGACTTACAATGCTGTCTGTAGCTTTTCCAAACCCAACAGAGGCAACCACGAAGCGAGAGCATAGAGCAGGTCCCTTGGAAGCACCTGCAAACTATATATATATATAATTTGCTATAATACCCAAAAAAATTAAATTAAATTAAAAATTGAGTGGAAGCCACGACCAAAGTGTAAACTTAAAGAAAACATCCAAACCCCAGAGAAAAAAAAAACAAATTCTTTCAGAAAAATCAAAGAAATTCAATCAGGTAATCAATCAATTAAGTACTTAATTCCTTGTGTCACGGGCCGCATGTTAAAAACAAAGAAAATGCCCAAGACATCATATATCTAAGCCCATGAAGCCATGTCTTCATGGAAGCTTCTGGAACGTCCCGGAGAAATCAAGAACGTGGCGGAGCATTCAAGATAATCTAGGGCATTCCGGAACATTCCACACAAGTGTACATATTTAAGCCTCACCTAGAATAATCTAGATTAGGCAAGTTGTATCTAGAACTATGCTATATTTTTGGATGTAAGTAGGGGATTCTAGAACCCTCCATTGAGGAGGTGACTTAGGCCTATAAATAGGAGGTAAGGCCATTTGGCCAAACCATCCAAGAATCCAAGAATTGTAAGCAATTGTAAAGTTCTCTTAACTTTCAATACAAAGCTTCCTTTCTCCCATCTTCTAAGTGATCTTAGCATTCTCCAAGCTATCTTAGCTTTCTTTGTGATTCGATCCGGGGAAGCGAGGCTTCGAAGGCTTACTTAGCTTGTTCGTCGAGGTATTCAAGTCTAAGTGCCGCACGGGCGGAAGGCTTAAAGAGTCATCCCGTGACAGCTGGTATCAGAGCCAAGCTCGTGAATCACTTGAAGGAAAGTAGGATATGGCAAGTGGAGAGATGGTGTCCGGAGTCTCCGACCTAAGGGAGCGTACTGCCGAGGTCCAAGACGTTGCCAAGAGCAAGCCAAAGTTAAAGGACTTGCAAGCATCGATGGAGACCATGGAAGAGCGACTCGAGAAGGTGGAACGAACCATACTCGAGTTCGATACTCGACTTGATGAGGACGTTGTCGACAAGGAGGAAATCCAAACCATGGTGGACAATGGTAAGGATGAACTGCGTGGCTTGGTGGAAGGGCTACGAGATGAGCTCCTTGGCGCTCTCAACACCATGGCAGACAAGATGCGGAGGGAAGTCCAGGTTCACCTTGACAACATAGAGGCAAGGTTTGTGGCGCTTCAAGAAAAGATAAAGGACATAAGGGAACTTAAGGGAGATGTGGCGTTTTGTAAAGAAGCAGTCGTGAAGCAATTCGTGCAAGGGTCGAGGGAAATCAAGGCGTTGGACTCCAAGGTAATCGACTCCTTTAAACCCAAATCCTATAATGGGAAGAGGGAAGCAAAGGAGCTCGACACATTCGTGTGGAACGTGGAGCGATACTTCAAGTACCTAAAGCTTGAAGATGACGAGTCCAAAATCTCAACGGCAACCATGTTCTTAGCTGACAATGCCCTTATGTGGTGGCGTCGTCGGAGCATGGAGATTGAGCAAGGTACGTTCTCTCTCACCACTTGGGATGAATTTAAGAAAGATCTTATGTTGCACTTCTATCCCCAAAATGCCAAGTACGAAGCCAAAGAGAAACTAAGGTGGCTCAAGCAAACGGGGAGCGTCAAAGACTATGTCAACGCCTTCGTGAGCTTGTTATTCGAGGTGCCCAACATGTCAGAGGAAGATAAGCTCATGTACTTCATGAGTGGACTGCAAAATTGGGCAAAACTCGAACTACAAAGGAGACACGTGCAAACATTGTCTGATGCCATTGCCGCTGCCGAATCCTTGATTGAGTTTAAATCAAGCCACCAAGGTGATTCCAAGCCCACGGGGAAGAGGGGTAACCATGAGAGAAGTGGGGGAGAACATAAGCCGAAGGACAAGGCCGAGACAAGCAAACCGAAGGAGAAGAAAGCCGATAAGCATGACAAAGGCAAAGGTAAGTCTTGGCAACCCACTTGTTACCTATGCGACGACCCTCACATGATGCGAGATTGCCCACAAAAGAAGGCCCTTAAGGCCATGGCCTTCAAGGAGGACAAGGCCGAGGAGAGTAACGATGCAACGATGGGATGCATCCGTCTACTGAATGCCATCCAGACAACCCTCCCACCACCTAAGGCTCAAGTTGGGGGAGGATCATTGTTCGTCGACATCAAGACTGGTGACAAGACGACGCGTGTGTTGGTGGACACGGGAGCAACACACAACTTCATGACGTCGGAGGAAGCCACAAGGCTTGGCCTCCGAGTCACCAAGGAGCCCGGTAGCGTGAAGACGGTAAATTCCGCTGCCACCCCCATTGTTGGAGTTGCGCGCAATGTACACGTAGACATTGGCACATGGAAGGGAACAATCGACTTCACCGTAGTTAAGATGGACGACTATGGCGTAGTCATTGGGTTAGAGTTCATGGACAAGGTACGAGCCTTTCCCATTCCCTTCTACAATATTTTCTGTATCCTGGCCGACGGAAGACAACCTTGCCTGGTGCCATTGGAAAGGCAAGCCAAGAAGTGTACCCAACACTTGTCGGCAATTCAATTTGCCAAGTCTTGGAAGAAAGGCGAGGCCACATTTCTTGCAACCCTAATGTTGAATGAAGGGGAGGAGAAGCACGGGCCTTTGCCGAAACAAGTGGAAGACGTCCTTGTGGAGTTTGCGGACGTGATGCCTAAGGAACTGCCAAAGAAGTTGCCACCAAGGAGAGAGGTCGACCATGCGATTGAGTTGGAGCCTGGTGCTAAGCCTCCCTCCAAATCACCTTATAGGATGTCGCCACCCGAGTTGGAGGAATTAAGGAAGCAACTCAACGAGCTACTTGATGCTGGCTACATCCAACCCTCCAAGTCCCCATATGGTGCACCCGTCTTGTTCCAACGCAAGAAAGAAGGTAGCCTAAGGTTGTGCATCGACTATAGAGCATTGAACAAGATTACCATCAAGAACAAGTACCCACTTCCGTTGATCGCCGACTTATTCGATCAACTTGGTGAAGCAAGGTACTTCACAAAGTTAGATCTTCGATCGGGATACTACCAAGTGAGGATAGCCCCTGGAGACGAATCGAAGACGGCGATGGTGACCAGATATGGATCGTTCGAGTATAAAGTCATGCCATTTGGTCTGACCAATGCCCCCGCAACATTCTGCACATTGATGAATAAGGTATTCCATCCTTATCTTGACAAGTTTGTCGTGGTTTACATTGATGATATCGTTGTCTATAGCAAGACATTGGAGGAGCACGTCAAGCACTTGCGCATAGTGTTCAAGACCCTTCGGGAGCATGAACTCTATGTCAAGAAGGAGAAATGCTCCTTTGCTACAAAAGAAGTAGAATTTCTTGGCCACAAGATAAAGGAAGGGAAACTTATTATGGAAAAGGGCAAGATCAAGGCCATTCAAGAGTGGGAACCGCCGACCAAGGTACCAACACTACGATCCTTTCTGGGGCTAGCCAACTACTATCGGAGATTCATAAAAGGGTATTCAGCTATAGCGGCACCCTTAACAGACCTTCTTAAGAAAAACAAGGCATGGGAATGGACGGACCGGTGTCAAGAGGCCTTTGAGAGGTTGAAGAAGGCCCTAATGGAGGAGCCTGTACTAAGGTTGCCCGACCTTAGTAAGCCATTCGAGTTGCACACTGATGCTTCCGACTTTGCCATAGGAGGAGTGTTGATGCAAGAGGGACATCCGATAGCCTATGAAAGTCGCAAGCTAAACAATGCCGAGAAGAGGTACACGACCCATGAAAAGGAGATGACCGCCATCGTCCATTGCCTTAGAGTTTGGAGGCATTACTTGCTTGGTACCCCATTCATCATCAAGACGGACAACGTTGCCACTAGCTACTTTCAAACCCAACAAAAGCTCACACCTAAGCAAGCAAGGTGGCAATAGTTCTTAGCGGAGTTTGATTACAAGCTAGAGTACAAGCAAGGAAAGGAGAATGTGGTGGCCGATGCTCTAAGTAGACGAGTAGAGTTAATGGCTACGGTACTCAAGCCGCAAAGCCATCTCTTGGGCCGTGTCCGAGAAGGTTTATCACATGACGTCCAAGCCAAGAACATTGTGGAGTTTGTCAAGGAAGGGAAGACAAGAAGGTTTTGGCTTGAGGACGGCTTGCTATACACCAAAGGCAAGCGGATCTATGTCCCAAAGTGGGGAAGCTTAAGGAAAGAAATCCTTAAGGAGTGCCATGACTCAATGTGGGCAGGACATCCTGGCACTCACCGCACGTTGGCTTTGGTGAGCGATGCTTATTATTGGCCACAAATGCGAGATGATGTAGATTCATACGTGAGGACTTGCCTTGTGTGCCAACAAGACAAAGTGGAACAAAGGCAACCGGGAGGACTGTTGGAACCACTTCCCACCCCATCAAGACCATGGGAGTGTTTAACTATGGATTTCATCACACATTTGCCCAAGTCTGATGGATGTGGATCTATCTTCGTCGTGGTCGATAGATTCACCAAGTATGGCACCTTCATACCCGCACCTGTGGAGTGCACAGCCGAAGTAGCTGCACGCTTGTTTCTAAAGCACGTGGTGAAGTATTGGGGAGTTCCGAGGAGCATAGTCAGTGATCGAGATGCTCGCTTCACGGGTAGATTCTGGAAGGAGCTCTTCAAGCTACTTGGCTCAAAGTTAGAATTATCCACAGCTTTTCATCCGCAAACCGATGGACAAACGGAGCGGGTTAATGCATTGTTGGAGACTTATTTGCGGCACTATGTTAGTGCCAATCAACGAGATTGGGCTAAGTTACTTGATGTTGCCCAATTCTCTTATAACTTGCAACGTTCGGAGTCGACGGGGAAAAGTCCGTTCGAGTTGGCTATAGGGCAACAACCCTTGACCCCGAACACGGTCGTGACTGGCTACACGGGGAATAGTCCAGCCGCTTTCAAAACTGATAAGGAGTGGCAATTAGCCCACGAACTTGCTCGAGCTCATTTGGAGAAGGCTTCAAAGAAGATGAAGAAATGGGCAGATCGCAAGCGAAGGAATGTGGAGTTCCAAACTGGCGACCAAGTCTTTGTGAAGCTCAATGCGTCTCAGCACAAGAGTACTCGTGGCTTGCATAAGAGCTTGTTGCGGAAATATGAGGGACCATTCCCTATCATCAAGAAGGTTGGCAAAGCCGCGTATGTTGTGGAACTCCCACCCCGCCTCAAGTTTCACCCGGTGTTCCATGTAAGCAACTTGAAGCCTTATCATGCAGACAATGAGGAACCAAGTCGAGGTGAGTCTCATCGAGCACCCCCTTTGATGACGGAGGCATTTGACAAAGAAGTGGAGAGCATTGAAGCCAAGCGTGTCGTGGTGCGACCAAGACAACCAAAGCATGTGGAGTACTTTGTCAAATGGAAGGGGCTACCATACTCCGAAGCAACATGGGAGAAGGAGACGTCCTTATGGCAATATAAGGACTTGATTCAGACATTCGAGAGGCAAGAGTCGACGAGGACGTCGACGGCTTAAGTGGGGGAGGATGTCACGGGCCGCATGTTAAAAACAAAGAAAATGCCCAAGACATCATATATCTAAGCCCATGAAGCCATGTCTTCATGGAAGCTTCTGGAACGTCCCGGAGAAATCAAGAACGTGGCGGAGCATTCAAGATAATCTAGGGCATTCCGGAACATTCCACACAAGTGTACATATTTAAGCCTCACCTAGAATAATCTAGATTAGGCAAGTTGTATCTAGAACTATGCTAGATATTTTTGGATGTAAGTAGGGGATTCTAGAACCCTCCATTGAGGAGGTGACTTAGGCCTATAAATAGGAGGTAAGGCCATTTGGCCAAACCATCCAAGAATCCAAGAATTGTAAGCAATTGTAAAGTTCTCTTAACTTTCAATACAAAGCTTCCTTTCTCCCATCTTCTAAGTGATCTTAGCATTCTCCAAGCTATCTTAGCTTTCTTTGTGATTCGATCCGGGGAAGCGAGGCTTCGAAGGCTTACTTAGCTTGTTCGTCGAGGTATTCAAGTCTAAGTGCCGCACGGGCGGAAGGCTTAAAGAGTCATCCCGTGACACTTGGATGCCTTGAATAAATATAACACTCCCAAGATAAATAATTAACTGTCCAATATTATATTTTTCCTGTTTCTTTCTTTTTATTCTCGGGAGAGAAACAAACCCATAACAAATAATTGAAGAAAACATACAGAAAAAATTGGGGAGTAGTGACATACAATATGCTGAGTTCTTCTTTGCTCAACGACAAACCTCAGAGAAAATCAAACCTCTTAAACAACAAAATCCAGCCAGAGAACTCAGTTTTGCAGTAAGTCGTAAACACCATGCGAGATAGCAAACGAAAGGCAGATGTTTAATAGCGAACAATAGGGAATACTCCAAGAATCAAGCCCAGGAAACTTCAAATCCATTGCAACAAAAGATATATGGAAGTAGTACTCTATAAAAAGCCTATCATAATCAATTAATTAATTAATTGGAATATTTTAGAGCTGTGATTTGCTACATGGGAAAGGCATGAGTTTAGGAAAAGTTGATTAGATTTGGAATCACAAACACTTCGGAAGGATTTTATGATAGTTCTCTTAAAACCAAAAGAAAATATTAGGGTTTCTTAGTTTCTTACCCAAATCCACCAATTTGAATCAAATCTCTGAAGCCGAGCTTCAAATCCGTCTCAAATCGCCTCCACGAACACGATTTTTGGAAGACTGGAAACGCATAGAGAGGCAGGCCCTGTATTTTTTGTACTTTGAAACGCAATCCACCTTGACCTATTGACCCTTCACAGACTTCTCCAAGTAACCTGCAGAGAGAAACAATACCCAATATACATTTTTTCAGATGGATTTTTAGAGAGAGAGGCGAAAGATTAACGTTTTAAGGACACATGAAAACTAATTTAATGCTGAGATTTTCACAGGAGAAGAAAAAGAAGAAAATAGAGTGCGACGGAAGCAGAGATTTGAGTGAGAGAAGTGAACACAAAAGGAAAAATCTAGAAGTTGTAGTCAAAGCATAGGTTTGGAGAAGCAGAGATGAGCGATCTGATTTTTTGAATGAGAGAGTGGAATCAAGTAGACGAGTCGAGAAACAGAAGGTGAAGCGATGAGAGACGCGTGCAGCAAGGGTAAATCCGCCACTTCGCTGTACAGAAACGGAAAACAGAGAAGCAAATAAGGGCATTACCACCATTTTACTATTCACGAACAGTGAAAAACAGTGCCACCCGAGTTTGGGTTTTAGTATATGTATAATATTAAAGTCATAACATGCCATGTACTTAAGAAGTAAGTTATTTTACTCCGGGATAATTGAAGAAAGTAGTTAATATGTTGTATAAGATGCCATAATTAATTACATACGTATCCTTAACAGATGAGATCCAACTACATGAGTATAGCTTTATTCGATGCTGTAAGCAGGGGTTATTGGCATGTGTTTGGACCCGATTTTACACCATCGGCCCGTGCAATCAAGACCGTTGAGTGAGCATGGCTCCCAACCGTCGGATAGAAAGATAAAGATCGTTTTGTTATTATTAAAAGATAATGTTATGATTTTTATCATAATCTTTTAATAATAATGTATTATGAGAGATCTCCAAGCTGGGAATACGGTGGCATAATTCGAGTCGATCTGGATGTTTGGCGTATGAATATGTGGATGGGATCAGTGTGGATGATTAGTATGCTGCAAATTGGTTATTATATATTTAAATATGGATAAACATTTTGGTATAGGTGCCAGGAATTAGCATCCCAAGGTGGTGGTTTAAATGAGGTTTGAAAAGTCATGGTGAATGGAGCAGATAAATATGGATGCAGATGGGATAATTATCATCTAAAGTATAGATGGGATATGCCTTTTTGATGTTGTGGTTTTCGTCACGTGGTGTGCTTTTGGGATTATTGTTATCTGTGCATGGCTACACATGAATCAATGTGATGGAAATTGAGTTCTTGTTGGACTAGGAGTCTGAAGCAGAGTCAGAGGATGATGATATCTGAAGGATAGGCTTTCATTTACTTTGAGAGAAGTCGTTGACGCTAGTGAGTTTGAGTTGAAATTAAATACTAGCGTGAAGCAGCGTCACATAACATTTTCTCTTATAAATACGAGACACCATGCAACTATTCAACCTCTCCAATTCAACACACAACTGCCCTGCGCAAACTCTCTCAACAACTTGAGATTTTTATTTTCTCCTTTCGCTGACACATCTTCCGTTGGCATCAACAGCACTGTGAAAGCAACTGGTGATATCTTAAGTCGGCATAGATAGCTCTGTCATCGTAGAATCAGCCGATCTCGCAGCATCTTCCGTTGGCATCAACAGCACTGCGGCGAGGACGGTTGGTTACCTATCCAAGTCTCGGTCGAGAAGGATTTCCGAATCCTTATTGGTCGAGGTCATCTCATTAGCCTTCTCGGCGAAGTGAGGTGTTACAAGTTATTACATTCGGCACATTGAAAGCCGAATTTGATATTGAACTTCGTAAGAATAGTAACCTTGTCTTCAGGTTCGAGAGCCCAAGAGGCCGAGACGTGTTCCTTTCTCGGCCGCAATCGCAAGACGCAGAAGTCAGCCGCGCACCCAACATCAACAAATTTACTCCTCGGCCGACGAGTTGGCACGCCCCGCATTCACCGAAGGACGTAGTTAGCTTATAGATTACTCGGCCTGCGCGCCACGTAGGCTTGGTAGTTTTTAGGGGCAACAACATGAAATGGAGAAGTTTCTTACCCTACACCCCAATTTAATAATAGCAACGGAGGGATGGGGGACAGCTCTTCACTACGCAGAACTATTCGGGCACGAGCAAATTGTGGAAGAGCTGGTGAAGTTGATGAGGGAGGAAGACTTGGAGATACGAGGTTTTCAAGTTGGACGACTCTTGTTCATGCTGCTAGAGACAACATCAAGATGGCTAGATGCATGGTTGCGAAGAACGAGAAATCACTCGGCATTGCCGAAGGGTACCAAAGGACTCCGATTCTCATCGCTGCTCAGTATGACCGATGGGATATAGTTCGGTAGTTCTACTCTGTCACTGCACCGGAAGATCTAATGCCAGATAAAGGCCATTACGGCTCTGAACTTGTTAGCTATTGTCTTTATGCCAAACAATTTGGTAATGAAACTACTCTTAACCGAATCAAATTTTCTGCACTACACACACACACACACATACATACTAGCCTCTTGCCACACATATGATGTGGCAATTTTCATTTTTATGTTAAATTATTTTTTCAAGTTTTAAATTTAATAACTGAGTTCTATTTTATTATTAGAAAATATTAAAAAAAGTCCACCATAAACCACACACTATGTCGGTTTTCTTTTTACTTTTTTGATGTATGATTTTTATTTAAAACTCAAGCCGTCTTGAATTACTATTTTGTCCCTTATTAATTAAATTGTTTTTATTCAAAAGCTTTAATAAGGGAGGGGCATTTTGTGGCATTTTGAATGTTTCACCCTTGTATCCCTCTCATTTTATATATAGAGATAATAATTGGTTTAAATACATACGTACAGATATTGCATGGGAGTTACTTCAGCGTTGTCCACACTTGGCATGTACTGTAGGCATCAAAAGATCCCCTTGATCTACATTTGCTCGTGTGCCCTTTGCATTCCCAAGTGGAACTTCGCTCAAATTCTGGCAATGGTGGATCTATAATTTGTTAGTAATAATAGTGGATCTATAATTTGTTAGTAATATCTTCTCTCCTCTTACTATCAAATTTGTCAATAGTACATGTGGCATGTACAAATGTCACCTTCCAGGTGGTTCAAATAAGGTGATCTCACTATTATTTTTCTTAAATCATATAATAAATGAGTACTACCATAATGGTATTTTTCATCCACAAAAACTGTTGTAAAAGAAAATTGGTCTCATGTCAAAGACATTATTTACAAGGAGTATTTGAATGAGGAAGTCGTATTTCTTGGTAGGTATATGCATAGAATCTGCTAGCTTCGTCGATAATTTTCATATAAATGTTCTAAATCAAGAAAATGAGCAATGTAATCAAGCGAATAGCACCGGTATGTTTCATCTCAAAACTGTAACTATGATTTGATATGTTGAAGTCTTTTTCATATGTTCTGCTCTTTTTCTTTTTTTTTTCTTTTTTTTTTAATAACTTTTTTTCAATTATCCATCTCTTTGTTTTTAGTAATTAGCTAGGTGACATGTGAAAATGGTGAAACATGTGAATATCTCTAAAATGCCCTAACTTGATAAAGAAAAACAATAGACAACTATCCAATTAAAATAAGGCCAAACTTGTAAAATTCTACAAAACCGGAGTTGATCCTCTACATATAATGTTGGCGCATATCTTAAATTGACAGCTTTCAACCGTTAGATAAACCCACACTTATGAGATTAATTGTAAACAATGTGACCCTTTAGTCAGTCCTCCCGCCAATAGTACTGTACCACATAACTAGAAAATGTAGTGTACACGTACCATTAATTTATCCTTAGGCCCGAAACTAATGAGAAATATTGGAGAAGATCGTATTGTAAACAGAATGTTTGATGAATTCTTATTACATATTTGTTTAAAGAAATGTAATTATATAGTCCATATACAAATGAATGTAACTTTTGAGTTGTTAGTAATGTGACAAGATGATCACATACATTTTGTGTTTACAATTGGTCTCATAACGGAAATAAATAAGAAATAAGAGATAAGTGAAATAATCAATGCACATGAATGGATTTAAAATATGTAATTCGCACAATAATGAAAAGTAAGGCTTTCATGCGTGTAGAGAGGCTAGCGGATTCTCCTTCTGTGTCACCGACAAGCTCTAATTTTTTGGGTCTAACTATATAGTTAGACAGGCTTCTAAGGTGGGAAGGGAGCTTGATTTTCACTATGGCACTAGCCCTCTCATCTCAACAAGCTCTCAAATATGTACGACCTATTTTTTAACTAGCAGCAAAAACTACTCGCTGTTTTGACAATTGCATGAATAACTTATAAATTATTACTCTACACAAAATGAAAACAAAATAAAATAATGGGAAATTTCATTTAAATGGGAATGCTTTACCCTTAACTTTCTGTTTCGCCCTTAAATAAAAAGAATTACAAGTATAAAACTAAAACAAAACAACAATTACACTCAAAAGATGTAATTAAAACTTTGAACAACACTCACCCGACGGTGCCAACAACTGGGTTCGATTTCGGCCGTCATCCAAAGTAAGTCGCCGTATACTCTCTCTCCATCAACCTTGAAGGATAGCAAGATTAAGTCCATTTGTAGCGGTTTTTAAGGAAAGTGATTTTAAAACATTTTTTAAGCCTCTTACATACTCTTGTTTAATTATGACCGTTAATTCTGTTTAATTTATTCAATCTAATGAACATAAATAAAGAAGGGTGTGTGAAAAACTATTGATTTATTGGATTCAAAATTATAATTTGAATTCGGGACCAAATTTTTTATTGGGATCAAATCTTTCGAGGATTTGTATTGACTGGATTTAGAAATTGCGGAACCCAATGGGATTTGGAAATTGCAGTTCGAATGGGCATAGGGAGGCTGCTGCAAGCTTCCGAATCTATATGGTGCCTGGGTATTAAGCTGCTGTAGGGTTTCATATTAAATTTGAGAGAAAGGAATTATATCTTGTATGTATTGAATGAATGAATACTCTGAGTTACAACAGTTACATATATATATATAGACAAGGCTATCTTAGTCACTAAGTAAGTTAACTACTAAACTTAACTTCTTAGCAACCTAATCTACGTGCACTTGTCAATATCTGAAACATCTAATATATCTTTACAAAATGCACCCAACATTTTCTAGTCAAATGCACGTTCTCATTTTACCAGCGTAACCATACTTAATAGTCAACACTGGACATTACATAATCAAGTTACTTTTAACCATACTTAAACAGAGAACAGACCGCATAGATGATAAATACAACTTCATGGAGATAAAAGCAACTCTTTTCTGTCTCTAGTTAAATCTATCATTTTCAGGTTTGGGACATGGTAGGTAAATTCAAGCTAGGGGCTCAAGTCTATTCATCCCTAAGCTTACTCACCAATTCCCTCCCATACGGATAAATTTGGTCTGATAACATCCTTGGTGTTGACCAGGAACACATCACCAATGTAATGATGGTTCGTGGGAACATAAACACAACTCTTCATCTCCAGAATAGCTCTTCAAAATAATTCTGGTGACAAGGAGAAATAAAGTCACCATTACAAACAGTCTGAAAAACCAATTACGTTTAAAAGCACAACCTGTACAACATCATTTCATCTGTTGTGTTCTCGGTTTTCAAAATGAAAAGTTATTAGCATACCTCAAGGACAACGGATGAAGTGATGAACCCGAATGCATGTTCACAAATCCAGGACCTAACATGTATATGGATGATGAAAGTTCAGTTATACATTGTAAAACCAAAACAAAGCAGAACCACTGAAAACGTATGTTTTGACCATAAACCAAGCATTATATAATGAATGTGAAAGAAGCATGTAGTGTCATATGATGCATTACCGGTATATTTCGTGTCTAAATCCAACATTGACCATACCGTATGCGAAGTTAATAAATTAGAGTCCTAGTGTCTGATGTACTAAATGCAGTTTACACATGTACTCTGCAGGTTCATTGTCTTTGAGTCTCTCTATGTTACAAGATCAATGTATTAGGTGTTCATAAATTAGTCTTTGGAATTCCAAGTATATTAATGTGAATCTTTCCAGATCCATGTACAAATGAGCTTATAAAAGGAGCTACTTTGTAAGCTTTTGGATTTCCTGCTTATGTGTGAAGCACAGGTTGACTTGGAGTGATTCCAAATTTCCAAGTCAACTTCGCTGTGATGCCAGAATTTATCCAATTGCTCTATTGGAGTGATTCCAATGCACCTTTGGCGTGATGCCAAAGGCCAGAGCGATTCCGGATCTCTCTTTTGTTCCCATCTCTTCTTATTGTTACATACTCTAGGTAAGATATATGGTCACTAGTGCAATCAAAAACCTTTTTCTAACAATTAAGCATCCAAGTTAAAGAAAATCAAACCCCTAGCTTCACCAGCATCTGGATTTCCTTTCTCTCTAAGGATTGAAACTGTCTTTACTGAATTCGGATTATCGCACCAAAATTTGTGTCTAGGATTAGATGAAGAGAGAAAATGGACTAGATACTAAGCTCGGCAACGTCATACCCCAAGACCAATAACTAATGCAAGTTAGAATGTACCAATCAAATAATGGGGTTTAAGGAATGCATTTCAGAATACTTCATATCAAAAATGTTGATTCCAAGTTGAGCATGGATTGGAAAGAAGAAGCTATTCACAAAGTGAATATACCACCACGCTATATAGAAAGTGATCGCTATTGGAAATAGGACACACTGCAATGGAACAAAGAGTGAGCAGCTAATATGATATATATGAGCAAAAAGCAATTTCGAAGAAAGAGAAGGAAGGCTTGATCTCATTAGCTACTGCATTAAACAGATGCATCAAGAAAAATCCACACACACCTGACAAATTAGTGTAAAATTACACGAAATGGGCTCAGTCTAAAACTTATAAGAGGCTAAGTTGTATTCATCTAACGAGGGCTATTTCTCCATCTTATCCAACTATTCCTTTGCCTGTAAGAAAACTCCTAGCATTCAAACAAATGATATACTTCTGCTTTCAGAAAGAGAGAAAAATAGATTATAAATACCTCATGGCTCATGGCTCATGGCTCAACCTAATAAATTTAACAACTACTGTCAGCTCTAAATCTTAAGAATAATCAGAAATCCAACAACTTTAATTCGCAACCTATGCAAAAAATTTCAGCTTTTCCCTCGAATTTTCCTCCATTTTCTCAGCAACCAAACACAACCCTAACACACAAAGCAATGAAATTTGAAACAGAAATCGAAACTCACCTCGTGGCCTGTGTGGTGGGAGGAGGAGGAAGATGAGGAGGGTTTGGACAAAGCATCTTTGTCGCCGGAGTCGGCCACCGGAATGAGAAGCTCACAATCTCGCGGTACTCTGTCTCTGCTCGCCATTCCTTTGTATTTTTGGCATTTCAAATATTTTGTTTTTATTTAATTATTATTTTAATTGGGTGAGGATTATTAAAGAATGAAAATAGTTAATCCTGTTTTTTCAATTATTTAAAAATATTATAATAATATAGTGGAGATTATTACGTGCATGTGTGGACTTCAAGGAAATGTTGTGTTTTGTTGTACCGCTAATTAAACAATGCGCCGATTAATTAACGCTTAATCTCTAACAAGATCCTTTATGGATTCTTTTGGTGAGAATTCTTTAGTGTTCATTCATCGTTCATCGCACATCGTGCAGTCAGTTTTTGTCAAGTACTGTTTATATTTAATTTTAAATAAAAATATTTAAAATAATTTATGACCGCATAATGTATGGTGAACGAACACGATTCAAGGATCAACAAATCCTCAAAAAGAGAATCCGGCGAGGATCCGGATTCGCTTAATCTCTCTTTGTATCTCAATTTTTATTGTATATTGATGTTTGATGAGCTGTCTTCCAATGATTGGATGCCAGCATTTTTACCGTGCAATTTGGTGTTCCTTTTTGGCAATAAAATATGAGAAGGAAAGGGATCTTCTCCAGATTCCTTTCTCCTAATTCACCAAATCAGAGGGTCCGGACTATTGAAATTTGATTCAACGGTTGAAGTTATTATAACTTTTAAAGTGGACCCATGTTTGTAACTGTTTGATTAAATTTCAATGGCACGAATTTCTGATTTGATAGATTAGGAGGAAATGATCCCTTTCCATATGAGAAATGCTAAGGGCCTATGTATATGACAAGAGAAACTTTGCACGCGTTTATAAGTAGCTGGACTACTATTTATATTGTCAATTAGTTTCGTGAGAAATAACCTAACTACTTATAAGCATATGCAAAGTTCATATTTCCATTAATGTGAGATTCATTCTCAATAGAAGCATGCAATTATCGAACATAAACTCAATTTGGTAGGCGGGGACAAAAACGTTATTCTAGTAAACTGATGTCCAAAAAACTATGGTTTTGTGAAAGTGGAGAAAATGGGAGGCCATGACGCTTATCATCATACCCAGCACACAAATGAGTATTACCATAGATGAACCGAAATGGAAAAGGCAAAAACTACTTTGAGGACAAAACATTGCACTCTCGCCCAGACCACCCTCAGCGTCGTCATCAACCTCTTTCTTATCTTCCCATCTCGACTATTCAGATGTTCCCTTTGCATGCATCCTTCAAACAAAGTGTCCAGTAGCATCAGATGATTTGGTCCTCATTTTACAAACAATTAATTTGTGATTTTGACTAGTTGTTTTTGTTATTTGGAACATGAAAAGCAAACTCTGTTGGCTGATGAGGTTTCTTGTCATGTTGTTAAGCAGTAGTTGATTCGATCCTCTTGATTCGACATCTACTAGCGTTTTAGCCATCATTTGGACTCGGTCTTTTTGGAAATTTTGAGTAGATATTTCATTGTCTCACATTGATTACCATCAAAAGGTTCTCCCTTTTAGAAAGTTGGAGTGATGAACCATAGAAAATAAAATTGAGTTCAACCTTAGATATGGGCTTTGAGATGTGCTAATTAATTGATAATTAATATATAATTAATTATTAAAAAACGAGCCGTGGGTTTGGGCTCGGACTCTAATAATTAAAATTTTTAATTAATTATTTTTTAACTAGTTTCAGATTTAATTAATTAATTAATTTTTATATTGACAGACTCATCTCTTCAGATGAAGTCTAAAGCGATGAAAGAACATCAAAGAGCAAAGCACCCATCTAAGAAGATGTCTTCCAATAGACGCATCCTATACTCATACTTGTTGCGAACAGACATAAATATATTTGCATGGCATTTAGAACACAGAAAAATCAAATTTTTTTCTACAATCCCAAACCTTCTTATTGAGAAAAGCACAAAGAAATTCGCCAGAAGTCTAGTTTTCCAGTGCTGGAATCTCGACTTAGATCGTTGAATTCTGGTGAAGCAGACGTCCGTAGAACTACAAGCACAAAGTAGGGATGAAATTTTGTTTTTAGGACATTATGGTACGCAAGCCTCGATCCTCAATTTGTCTGTTTAATATTATTTCGTTGTGTTCATACTTTGTTAAATTATTTGTTTGCATTTATTATTTATTAGCGTATATAAATTTGTCATTGATTGTTGATATTTATCCAACAGTCTTAACTCTTCTTTTCACTTTTTTTTTGATAAAAAAAGTGTCCCGTTTCAAATATTAGCATTGCCTCGTGGTGCAAGGAAGCATGAAGATATGGTAGAGAGGATGCTTTGATGCAGGTTAACTAGCTTTGATGAATTGAGGAAGGTAAATGTTAAGGGGAGTTTTTAAAGTGATTTTTATGAAGTGCTGGTAGGAAGGATTGCTCGATCCCTTTGAAATTTTTTGTTAAGGGCCGAACTAATTAGGATGTACCTTTAGTTCAAATCAATCGGTTGTGGTCTCTGGTGATATTAATATAGGAGTGTGATATCTACACATCTTTTTTTATTTCTCATACATTCTTTTAATTTTTGACTGTCGAATTGAAGAAAATAAAAAAATAAAAATTAACAAAAAATGTGTGAGAAGTAAAAAATGATGTGTCAATAGCACACCCCTTAATACATATAGGCAAGGAAAGGGGTCCTTGAAGACAAATTAGTGGTCATGGGAGTGGGAATATTAAGAGTATTATAAGGCACTAATCTCTTCTCTTATATATAAAGCCGGAGGCCAGTTTTGGTGTCACCGGCTTCGACAAAATTAATTGGACAAAACTGTCTCTCAGCCAAAAAAAATCAAAAGCAGGAAAAATGAATGCATAAAATAATTCAAGGGTAATTTTGTAAATATAATTTTTAATAATATCCTGCCTCTTCAATCAGTCTACAGTTCCACCGCTTCCCTCCTCCACCGGTACATTCTCGCTCGGTCCTTTCTGCTTCTGTCATTCTCTCTCTAAAAGATTCTGCCTTCTCTCTAAAAGTCGTCTCTCTCCTCCTTCCGCCATACCCAAGCTTTTCTCTGTCGGTTTGCTTTCTTGATTTCCGCTTTTCCCTTTTGCTCCCTGCTGCAGATCAGCAGCTGCACTGCTGTTCTTCCTCTCCTCCTCCTTAGTTCTTCCACTCCAAAAACTTCATTTCATCGTAACTTTTTCATACGGCAACGAAATCGCGCAAGGTCGGAGCCTATAGATTCGTATCAGAACCTCTTCCATCTGATATGACACCCACACCTCAAAATCAACTGTGCTCAAAGATTCGATCCTAGAACAGTGACGGTTTTTTGGCGGAGTTTTGCTGATTCCGCCCAATCCCGCCGGAATTTGGTCTCGGCCCAAGAGAGAAAGTTGATCCTCTCCTGACGATCTTTCTACCTATACTTGAGTTCGTTGAGTGAACTGAAAGTTTTTTGTTTTTTTTTTTTTTAGTTTTTGGTTTGTGGGTTTTTAATTTTTTTGATTTTTTTGTGCAGGTAAAGGAAGAACCCAGAAGCGATATGTTCACTGTTCAGCAGCTAATAGGTATGCCTAAGACCTCTTGCTGGTTGCGACAATCTCCAGTTTCTTACTCTATTTCTCTCTCTCTCTCTCTCTCTCTCTCTCTGCTCTCTATAGTACCAGTACATGTATAAACAGATGTATACATCCATAAACAAACATGCATATTCTCATTTGTTGGATGTATATGGACAGTCTGCGGATGTTTGACTAACAAAACAAAGCCAAGTTAACATTTCTTTTGCAATTTTTTAATTTGTTTCTCTCAAATTGATAGTTTTTATTCATTTGGATACCGCCATGACAGCCCATGAAGCCTCCGCTTCGTCCTCCTCCAAGTCAAAACTTTGGAATTACGACTTGTTCTTGAGCTTCAGAGGTGAAGACACGCGCAACGGCTTCACAGGCCACCTGCACGCGGCATTTAAAGACAGGGGATACCAGGCTTATATGGATGAGGACGATCTAAAAAGAGGGGAAGAAATAAAAGAGGAACTGTTCCGGGAAATTGAAGGGTCGAGGATCTCCATCATCGTCTTCTCAAAGAGGTATGCGGATTCAAGTTGGTGTCTTGACGAGCTGGTGAAGATCATGGAGTGCAGATCCTGTTAAAGGAAAGTATATTTGGTTAACATGATCGTAGGGATTGTAAATGGTCAACGATCTGATTAGAGCTATAATAGGATCTGATTGTAATCAACCTGTAATTATAGATTGGTTACCTAGAATAGGCTGCATCTGATTGTATAAATCTTGTATCTTTGTATGAATGAACATATTGGAATAAGAAAACTATTCAGCAAATACTTCAATTTTACATGGGCATCAGAGCACCGATCCTGGTGACTCTAGGCGTCCATTCGACTTCCGCTACAAACACAACCCAAATTTTTTCCAACACACATAACCAACATGGGCGATGAAAAAACCAGCAGAGATGGTGTCACATGCATTTGACCCTCTCACTCTACACCACTCAGATTCACCAAGTCTCGTCTTGGTTTCACAACTCCTCGACGGACACAACTACGGACAGTGGAGCCGCTCCATGCGCATCGCTCTCAGTGCCAAGAACAAACTTGGGTTCATTGATGGATCAATCAAGTGCCCAGCAATTACTAACGCCAAGTTTTCAATTTGGCAGAGATGCAATGACATGGTCTTGTCATGGATTTGGCAATCTGTGCAAGGCAACATCGCACGCAGCATACTTTACTGCAAATCTGCATCTGCAGCGTGGAAGGATCTTGAGGATCGATTCTCACAAGGAAACGATTCCAGGATCTACCAAATCCGACAGGAAATCGTCGAACACCGACAAGGACAACTATCTATTTCAGACTATTACACCCAGTTAAAGGCTCTTTGGGATGAACTGGCTTCGTATTATGAACCAATTACCTGCGATTGTGATGGATCCAAGACTCGTGTAGCAAGGGAGGAGAAGAGAAGGTCATGCAATTTTTAATGGGCTTGAACGAGACTTACTCCACCATACGAGGTTCTATCTTAATGATGAATCCGCTTCCTGATACGCGACGTGTCCACGGGTTGGTTCTGCAACACGAACGCCAAATGGATGTGGCTAATCATCGTGAACCTGCTGCCCATGCGATGCAAACACATCGGTCCACAACACCAAAAGGAGGGTCTGTACCTGGTAGCTCCAGTTCACGGAAAGCATCCAAATGCAGCTACTGTGAAGGCTCACATTCCGTAGAGCGGTGTTATTTTCTTATCGGGTTTCCCGAAGGTCATAAGTGGCATGGGAAGCATGTGCTGCCCAGAAACAAACGCCCAAATCCGACAGCCCACAATGTCGAAGCATCTCCATCACACGCCATCCATCCAGAAGCAACCAAGGCCACATCTTCCCACGGCCCAACATTCACAACCGAAGAGTACCATCAACTTCTTGCCTTGCTTCGCTCTGGAAACGGTAAAATTACACCACTTGCGAATGCAACAGGTATTGTTACACCCACATGTAATATGACGGAACATGACTTGCATTCAACTCTTTACTGGATTATAGACAGCGGGGCATCTGATCACATATCACATTCACCATTAACACATAAACAGATTGCTGCTGAAAATGATTTTGTGGGATTACCAAATGGGGGCACGGCAGATATTAAGAGCATTGGATCCGTAAAATTGTCACATGAGTTATTACTTGATGGCGTTCTCCATGTTCCAAAATTTCGTGTCAATTTATTGTCTGTGAGTAAACTCACACGGGCTCTACAATGTATCGTAATATTCTTTCCGGATTTTTGTGTTGTGCAGGACATGGATACGAAGAGGACGATTGGCCTGGGCAAGCAATTTAATGGGCTCTATTACCTTACGCCAAGCCAAAATCCCCATCTTACCAACCATGTTAGTCGCACCACCAGTCTATGGCATCAACGCTTGGGCCACCCATCTACACACCCTTTACATTTTTTGTCAAAAACAAATCCCGAAATAATGTTTGATTCCAAACATGTTTGTGAAGTTTGCCCTTTGGCAAAACAAACTCGATTGTCTTTTGCTTCTAGTTCAATTCAATCCACTGCACCTTTTGACTTAATTCATTGTGACATTTGGGGGCCTCACAAAGTTCCCACACATTCTGGGGCACGTTATTTTCTCACCATCGTGGATGATTTTACTCGTTTTACATGGGTGCATCTTATGCGTTTCAAATCCGATACACAATCACTATTGAAATCATTTTTTTCTTGGGTCACAACTCAATTCCACAAAACCATCAAAGTTTTACGCGCAGACAATGGTGGAGAGTTCCTCTCCATGCGTTCTTTTTTAGACACCCATGGCACCATTTTTCAGCATTCATGCGTTCACACCCCTCAACAAAACGGGGTTGTCGAGCGTAAACATCGACATCTTTTGAACATTGGGCGCGCACTCCGTTTCCAAGCCAATTTACCATTAAAATTTTGGGGGGATAGTGTCCAAACCGCATGCTACCTTATCAACCGCATTCCCACACCCTTATTATCCCATAAAACTCCCTACGCATTTTTACATGGTCACTTGCCCACTTATTCTCACCTCCGTGTGTTCGGATGTCTTTGTTATGTCACCAACCTTCACCCAAACCACAAGTTTGACCCTCGTGCTCGCCGTTGTCTTTTTCTTGGATATCCCCTTGGTCAGAAAGGTTACCGTGTTTACGACCTCGAAACGCATAAAATCTCCACTTCCCGTGATGTTCACTTCCATGAGACAATTTTTCCTTTTGCCCACTCACCACCTGAACATGAGGATGACTCTCTTGTCCTTCCCCTTATTCCTCCTGATTCCTTACCCTCTCACGGCCCACACCATCCTGGCCCAAACCCAGATGACTTGAACCCCACCACTACCCCAACTCCCACTTTACCCTCTCCAGTTCCCGACCTCAATACCCACACCCCATCATCTCCTCCACCTTCACCAGAGACCACTCCAATCTCACCCACTCCTGCCACCCACTCCCTCGCCTTACCTACCCCTCCGCATGCACCGTCCTCACAACCTCCCATTCGCCAATCTTCCCGCCTGACCCGACCACCTGCCTATCTCAACGATTATGTGGCCCATCATGCTGCTCTGCTTGCACCTGGCATCGCCTCTTCCTCCGTGTCCAGCACCCGACATCCTCTCCACCGGTATGTCTCTTATGCCTCATTATCTTCTGCTCATCAGTCTTTCATCCATAATGTTTCTCATCAGATGGAACCCACATCATATGATCAAGCCCGTCATGACCCCCACTGGGTCGCTGCCATGAACAATGAACTTCGAGCTTTCGAAGAAAATCAGACATGGAGCATGGTACCCTTGCCTGCCGACCATCGTGCTATTGGATGCAAGTGGGTTTTCAAAATCAAATACCATTCGGACGGTACAATTGAGCGGTACAAAGCCCGCCTCGTTGCCAAAGGTTTCACTCAACGCGAAGGGATTGATTACAAGGAAACTTTCGCTCCCGTTGCTAAGCTGATCACTGTGCGATGCTTGTTGACTGTTGCTGCGGTTCGCCATTGGCCCCTCCATCAGATGGATGTGCAAAACGCCTTCCTTCATGGTGAACTCCACGAAGAAGTGTACATGTTGCCTCCTCCTGGTTATCGTCGACAGGGGGAGCGTGTTGTATGTCGACTCAAAAAATCCTTGTACGGACTTAAGCAAGCGTCCCGCAGTTGGTTTCAGAAATTTTCCTCTGCCATCCATGACATTGGATTCATACAATCTCGGGCTGATTATTCTCTGTTTACTAAGGTCTATGGCAGCTCCATCACCATTGTTTTATTATATGTTGATGACATGGTTATTACAGGAAATAATGATGGAGCAATCAATGATCTCAAGCAGATTCTTAGCCGTTGCTTCCGAATTAAAGATCTTGGACCCCTAAAGTACTTTCTCGGTGTTGAAGTTGCACGGTCCAAAGCTGGCATTGCCATCAGTCAGCGCAAGTACACACTTGACATATTGGAAGAGGCAGGTTTACTTGGTGCGAAGCCATCAAAGGTTCCAATGGAACCTGACTTAGTGCTACTACCCACTGGTAGTGATCTTCTCAAAGATCCTACGCAATACCGACGAATGGTTGGGAAATTAATATACTTGACAATCACAAGGCCGGAGATCACATATGCCGTCAACACCCTGAGTCAATTCATGCAGGAACCTAGGCGACATCATTTGGACGCAGCACATAGACTTCTTCGATATCTTAAAAATGCTCCTGGACAAGGTTTGTTGTTCTCTTCCCAAAGTAAGCTGAATTTGATTGGATATTGTGATGCGGATTGGGCACGTTGTCCGATTACTCGCCGTTCAGTTACAGGTTATTGCATTTTTCTGGGCAACTCACTCATATCTTGGAAGAGCAAGAAACAGGTCACGGTAGCACGATCATCTGCCGAAGCAGAGTACCGTTCCATGGCTGCAGCAACTTGTGAACTCACGTGGTTGAGATACCTGTTGAAGGATTTGCAAATAATCCATCCTAATCCGGCGAAGCTGTTTTGTGATAATCAAGCTGCGTTACACATTGCAGTGAATCCTGTGTTCCACGAGCGCACCAAACACATTGAGCTTGATTGCCACACCATTCGTGAGAGGATCCAAAGAGGAGAAATCAAGACAGCCTATATACACACTGGAGAACAAGTGGCTGACATGTTTACTAAGCCACTGCGATCACCTGCTTTCCATTTGCTTCTCTGCAAGTTAGGCGTTCTTGACATCCACGCTCCAACTTGAGGGGGAGTGTTAAAGGAAAGTATATTTGGTTAACATGATCGTAGGGATTGTAAATGGTCAACGATCTGATTAGAGCTATAATAGGATCTGATTGTAATCAACCTGTAATTATAGATTGGTTACCTAGAATAGGCTGCATCTGATTGTATAAATCTTGTATCTTTGTATGAATGAACATATTGGAATAAGAAAACTATTCAGCAAATACTTCAATTTTACAGATCCAAACTGGGGCGACATGTTTTGCCAATATTCTATCATGTTGATCCTTCACATGTCAGGAAGCAGGATGGAGATTTAGCCAAAGCATTTCAGAAGCACAAAAAGAGCATCAGTAAAGTAAAAGATGGCACGAAACGTGAAGCTAAACGAGAAAGTGTAAAGCAGTGGAGAAAGGCTCTTACAGAAGCTGCAAACTTGTCTGGCCACCATATCACTGATAATGGGTAATCATTCATGCTTTTCAAGATTTGAAATTTTTTAGTGAATGAGTTAAATCTCTCATATAATTAACATGTCTAATTGACATTTTACAGAAGCTAAACATTAATTAGCATGCTTAATTAATACACCTTAATTTCTCATATCAAACCAAACCGTAATTGGAGTTTAATTAATGAATGATTTTCGTTCTTTTATTCAAGTTGGTCACAAAATCACATACTAGCTAGTAGCTAGTTAGTGTGTGTGTGTGTGTGTGTATATCATTGAGTCCCGCTAATGTCAATTTTCAGGCGCGAAGCAGAGTTTATTAGAGAAATTGTTGACAAGATTATTACGGAATGGCTTCCGAGCACAAACGAACTAGATGTGGCCAAGTACCCGGTTGGAATCAATTCTCGCATTCATGATATTATCAGTCATCTTTCAAGTGGTGGATCAAATGTTCTCATGGTTGGAATTTGGGGTATGGGGGGATTGGGTAAAACAACAGCTGCCAAAGCTATTTATAACCAAATTCATCACATGTTCCAATTCAAAAGTTTCCTTCACGATGTTAGCAACACTGCAAATAAACATGATCTAGTTTATTTGCAAAAAAAAATTATTTCTGACATCTTGAAAAAGGAGTTTGACATAAGCAGTGTTGCTGAAGGTATCAGTCGGATAAAAGATCAATTTTCACATAGAAGGGTACTTGTCATCATGGACAACATAGATGGAGTGGACCAACTGAATGCAATAGCTGGAAATCACAATTGGTTTGGTCCTGGAAGTAGAATTATAATAACGACACGAGATGAACATTTACTAAAGCAAGGGAAAGTGAATAAGACATATCTGGCCCAGGAATTGAATAAAGAAGAAGCTCTGGAGCTCTTGAGTTGGCATGCCTTTGAAAATCGACGGCCTAAAGAAGAAGGATATCTCGAACTCTCAAAAAAGGTTGTTTCTTACTGTGGAGGTTTGCCACTAGCCCTTGAAGTTTTAGGTTCTTTTTTGTTTACAAGACCCATAGAAGAGTGGCAAAGCCAATTGGACAAATTGAAAGGAACTCCTAAAGGAGAAATAATAAACAACTAAGAATAAGCTTCGAAGGGCTAGATAATACACAAAAGGCTATATTCCTGGACATATCTTGTTTCTTTATTAGAAAGGACAAGGACTATGTTGCAAAAGTATTAGATGGATGTGGATTTTCTGCAACAATAGGAATCAGTGTCCTTCGTGAACGATGCCTTGTAACCGTTGAGCAGAACAAGTTGAATATGCATGACTTGCTTCGAGAAATGGCCAGAGTAATCATTTCTGAAAAATCCCCTGGTCACCCTGAAAAATGGAGTAGGTTGTGGGATGATCGAGATGTCATCAATGTGTTGACAAATAAATCTGTAAGTCTATTCCCAGTAAATTTTTGGATTAATCAATCGTACAAGAAAAACATATATGTAATGTCTATTATACCTTTAACAAAATTCATTTGTAATTGGGGTTGCACAAGGAAAGCTTAAATAGCCAACAATAGTACTTGCATATATTCGCCGTAGGTGATTTTGCGTAATGAATTAATAATACATGTAAACATATGCAAATGATCGGTTTCTTACACATGAATATTATAACCTTTTCTTAATAGGGAACTGAAGAAGTTGAAGGACTTGCTCTACATTTGCCTTATGGTTATGGCAATGCTAGTTTCAGTACAAAAGCATTTGCCAATATGAAAAAACTGAGATTGCTTCAGCTCAACAAAGTAAAGCTCAAAGGAGAATACAAACATCTTCCCAAAGAGTTAATATGGTTGAGTTGGGAAAAATGCCCTTTAAAGTCCATACCAGATGACTTTTTTAATCAAGATAAACTAGTTGTTTTAGAGATGCGGTTAAGCAAACTGGTACAAGTTTGGGAGGGTTCCAAGGTACAATGAATTACACCTGATGATGTTCTGTTTCTATTTATTTTTTGGATTTCTTCTCTTTTGTTTTTTTAATATCTTCATTTTGGATATTAATTTTAATTTTCTTTTGATTTTCTGCAACAGTCGCTTCGTAACTTGAAAACCCTTGATCTCAGCTATTCCTATTCCTTACAGAAATCATTGGACTTCTCACAAGTCCCAAATCTTGAAGAGTTGATATTGGTATTGTGTGAGAGTTTGTCCGAGATTCACCCCTCCATTGGTCATCTTAAAAGACTTTCTTTGGTGAACCTTGAGGGATGCCGTAAGCTTATTTCTCTTCCAAGGGATTTCTATAAATTGAAATCTGTTGAGACTCTTCTTCTTAATAGATGTTTAAAATTCATAGAACTGCATGAGGATATAGGGGAGATGATATCATTGAGAACACTTGAAGCAAAGCAAACAACCATAAGAGAAGTACCACCTTCCATAGTAGGATTGAAGAATCTCACTCGTTTATCCCTTGACCGCTCCAGCTGCGTAGAGCTTAATGGAGAATACAAATGTCTTCCCAAAGAGTTAATATGGTTGCGTTGGTTTGGATGCCCTTTAAAGTCCATACCAGATGACTTTTTTAATCAAGATAAACTAGTTGTTGTAGAGATGCAGTTTAGCCAACTGGTACAAGTTTGGAAGGGTTCCAAGGTACAATGAATTACACCTGATGATGTTCTATTTCTATTTGTTTTTTGGATTTCTTCTCTTTTTTTTTAATAACATCTTCATTTCGGATATTAACTTCAATTTTCTTTTGATTTTCTGCAACAGTCGCTACATAACTTGAAAACCCTTGATCTCAGCTATTCCCCTTCCTTACAGAAATCACCGGACTTTTCACAAGTCCCAAATCTTGAAGAGTTGATATTGGTATGGTGTAAGAGTTTGTCCGAGATTCACCCCTCCATTGGTCATCTTAAAAGACTTTCTTTGGTGAACCTTAGAGACTGTAAAAGGCTTATTTCTCTTCCAAGGGATTTCTATAAATTGAAATCTGTTGAGACTCTTCTTCTTAATGGATGTTCAAAATTCAGAGAACTGCATGAGGATATAGGGGAGATGACATCACTGAGAACACTTGAAGCAGAGCAAACAACCATAAGAGAAGTACCACCTTCCATAGTAAGATTGAAGAATCTCACTCGTTTATCCCTATCAGGTCTGGAAAGTATTCATTAGCCACATTCGATACACGACTTAACCTCTTTAAGGGAATTAGATCTCTCATGTTGCGGATTAGCTGATAATGAAATCCCTAAGGATCTTGGGAGTCTAATTTCTTTACAAGTTTTGGATCTTTCACGGAATGATTTTCATACCCTACCCTGTCTTAGTGGTCTTTCAGAGCTTGAAACTATGCGGTTAGATAAATGCTTTAACCTTCGTACAATCCCTGATATACCACCAAATGTGAAAGTTCAGCATGAGCAATATCCTGAGGTCGATGCGTGCAATGTTATGTAGGCAGAGAAGATTGGGAGAAGCTTTTACTTTGGAGTTTGAGGTTCTCTGGGGCTCTTGAAGCAGATTCTACAGCCATAAGACAAGTACCACCTTCCTTCCATAGTAGGATTGAAGAATCTCACTTTTATCTCTTGAGTTCTGTGCCTGGTCATTTGCCCAAATTACCTGATGATGCAATCCCTAAGGAACTTGGAGGGAATGATGTTCATACCCTACCCAGCCTCAGTAGCCTTTCAAAGCTTGGAGGGAATGGATGCATATATCTTCATACAATCCGTGATTTACCTAGAAGTTTGAAATTTATGTATGCCGTTGATTGCCCTGCATTGGAAACAATGCCCAATTTTTCGGAAATGTCAAATATGAGAGAACTGGAAGCAAGTGATTCTCCCAAATTTCTTGTAGAAATGCTTAGATGTACCCGAATCAATTGTTTGATCTTCTTATCACATTACTTGGAAGCTCAAGCAGAGAAATAAAGCTCTACTCACACCCAAATTTCAAACAAATGAGCGGAAAGTAATACCGAAAATCCAAATTAGCACATTACAAGTCCAAATGAACTGATGCAAAATTGACAAACAAAACAAGACTAAAATCTGAGTTTGCTCCATTAGCCTCAGGAAACACTAAATCAGACAATGTCAAACACAAAATTAGAAATTTAATCGCCAAAATCAACCCATAAATCACAATTAACACACACACGCACTAACATCAATTCGCAACCTATGCAAAAACTTTCAGCTTTTCCCTCGAATTTTCCTCCATTTTCTCAGCAACCAAACACAACACAACACGCAAAGCAATGAAAACAAACAGCAATCAAAGCGCTCGGTGCGGTAGGAGGAGGAGGAAGACAAGGAGGGTTTGGACGATGCATCTTCGTTGCCGGAGTCCGCCACCGGAATGAGACCTCACGATCGCGCTTCTCTGTCTCTGCTAGCCGGATTATTACGTGCATATGAGGACTTGAAGGAAATGTTGTGTTTTTTTGTACCGCTAATTAAACAGGGGGCGGATTAATTAATGCTTAATCTCTCACTGTTTCTCAAATTTTTGGCAATGAAATTTTTTTTTTTTTTTTCAAGGCAATGAAATCTTTAGATAAGAGAGTTGTTGAATATTTATACATACACGCTTCTTAATTAGGAATGTAATTTGGATGGTCTTTTAAATTATTCAACCTCAATTTTGGATTCCTAAGAGTGAATTGGAATGAGTAGAACCGAGCTTAAACTGAAAAATGATAAGAGCATTTTTAAATGATATGTCAAATTTATAGTGGAATCATTAACTTTTAGAAAACACAATTGAGTTTGGCTTTAACTGAAATGTTTTAGTCACATGAAATAGTGGCTTCAATAAGTGCTACCAATTTTGACATTATTTTTGTATTTTCTCTCTTTTTTAAACACCATGCCTACCTATTTCTACCATTAAATTTGAAGTGGTGCTTAATGTAGATACATAAATAACTTTTACAAATTAAAAGATCTCATCTTATTGGAGATAGCATTTGTAGATGAACAAAGGGAAGGGAAAAAAAAGTATTTAAGTTGGTTTTTGTTAAGGGAATGGAAAGACATAAAATGGCTTGGGACTTAGACTTGGACATCTTATTTCCTTATGATTGCAACATTTTTTAAAGTTGAAGTTTGAGGAAGCCTAAAGAAGTTTAAAAGTATGTTTTAAAGTTTGTGTGTTGAACTTTGAACATCATATAACATAAATTAGACAATATAGACTGAGAAATACTCGCACTGAACACTTGTAGAATTTTTGATGTGTATTTCATGAAGAAACAATTACAAATGAAACATATATATAGGAAAAGAAAGTAGACATAAGCTTAACTTGCCTAATTTCCTAACTTGCCTAATTTACACAAAGAATGTTGACTAGCCTAACTTCACTAGTCATCCAACATGTTTATTTCATGCATGCATTTTAACACAAGATATGACTTGCATGCATTCTTCCAACACTCCCTCTCAAGCTGGATCGAGGGGATTCACTGAGCCAAGCTTGCCCAATAACCGATGAAACTGAGATGATGCTAGTGCCTTTGTAAAAAATCTGCTAGTTGATCATGGCTTCGTGTGAACATGGTCCGGATGATTTGCGTTTGAACTTGAGCTCTGATGAAATGACAATCCACTTCAATATGTTTGGTTCTTTCATGGAACACAGGATTGGCAGCAATGTGCATGGCTGCCTGATTATCACACATAAACGTCATAGGAGTAGAACTAGGAAACCCTAAGTCTGAAAGAAGCCCTTTAAGCCAAATGAGTTCACACGCAGTGGCTGCCATGGCTCGATACTCAGCCTCTGCGCTGGAACGAGCAATTACCTGTTGCTTCTTACTCTTCCATGTGACAAGGTTTCCACCAACAAATGTACAATAGCCTGTGATTGATTTCCTATCAATTGCATTACCTGCCCAGTCTACATCTGTGTAGCCACTAATGACAGTGGACTGATTGTTATGCATTGTAATTCCTTGCCCAATTGAACCCTTAAGATAACGAAGGATTCTTTTAACAAGGTTAAGGTGATCAACAGTGGGAGAGTGCATGAACTGACTAGCCAAGTTCACTGCATATGTGATATCTGGACGAGTGATAGTGAGGTATATGAGCTTGCCTACTAATCGTTGATAGTAGCTTACATCATGCATGGCTTCTCCATTTATGCTGAGCTTCAGTTTACAATCAACGGGAGTGATAGCAGGCTTGCAGTCAAGCATTTTTGCTTCTTGAAGGAGGTCCAATACATATTTCCGTTGATGTAGAAACAGTCATTTTGAAGATGTTGCCATTTCGATCCCCAAAAAATACTTTAACCTCCCCAAATCTTTGATAGCGAAAGCTTGATGTAGTGAGAGTTTTAGTGCCTCAATCTCCACGGTATTATCTCCAGTGATGATAAGATCATCAACATAGACGAGGACCACCAACTTCCCCCTGGTGCCAGTTCTTACAAATAACGAAGAATCAGCATTACTTCGCATGAATCCAGCCTTTTCCAGAACAGAACTGAGCTTGGCATACCAAGCTCTTTGGTGATTGTTTCAATCCGTATATTGCCTTGTGCAATTTACAAAACCATGTTGCCTTTAATACCATCATAGCCTGGATGAGGTTGCATATACACTTCTTCCTGCAGCTCGCCGTGAAGGAAAGCATTCTTCACGTCCATTTGGTAGAGTGACCATCCACAATTGATTGCAACTGACAGTAAAACCCTGACTGAGTTCATCTTGGCCACCGGTGCGAATGTTTCCTTATAATCTACACCAAAGGTTTGGGTGAAACCTCGAGCAACAAGTTTAGCCTTGTGTCTCTCGATAGATCCATCAGCTTTGAATTTAGTCTTGTAAATCCAACGACTTCCAACAGCCTTTTTTCCTGGTGGTAGTTGAACTAGGCTCCAGGGTGCAATTCTCTTCCAGTGCACGAATCTCTTCTTTCATGGCTTGGTTCCATTGTGGGAGAGAAGAAGCTTCTTGAAAGCTTCTGGGTTCATAGTGCTTATCAATTTCACTGAGAAATGCAGCATGAGATGTTGAGAACTTACTAAAGCTGATACATTCATTGATTGGATGTCGTGAGGCATATGTAACATAGTCCTGCAACCTAGCTGGAGGTTTTCTGATTCGAGGAGGATTTCTTTTAATCACCTGAGACTCTGTAGAGGGCGGAGAAGGATCAGAGTAGGGCTCGTCTTCAGTCTCACTGGCAGTAATTTGGTCAGTTTGAACTTCTTCACAATCTGGACTTACAATGACTGATCTCTTTTCCAACATCGGATAAATTAAAGTTTTGAGGGAGTGGGAACATGTCAACTAAATCCTCCCCCTGACTTGTAAAATAGGGATAGTCTTCTTCGAACTTCACATCTCTTGAAACTGTGCACTTCTTAGTGACTGGATTGAAGCACTTGTATCCCCTTTTGAGTGGTCGAGTATCCCATAAAACACACACTTGGTTGCCCTGGCATCTAGTTTGTCACGGTTCAAGGTTTGGATGTGAACAAAACACACACAACCAAACACCTTGAGATGTGTCAAATCTATTTTCCTCCCCTTGAGAACTTCATAGGGAGATTTAAACCCTAGCACACGACTTGGAAGTCGATTGATGAGATAAGTGGCAGTAAGGATGGCAAACGACCAAAATTTCTTTGGAACGTGCATGTGAATCATGAGAGCACGAGTTTTTTTTCCAAGAGATCTCTATTTTTTCCTCTCGGCTACTCCATTTTGTTGGGGAGTCCCCACACAGCTAGTTTGATGTATGATACCCTGAGAACTTATGTATTGAAGCATGTTGTTGGATAGAAATTCAGTGCCATTATCTGACCTTAAAACCTTAATGTTTGATTGAAATTGCGTTTTAACATGCATGTGAAAGTCTTTGAAAATGGTAGGGACTTCACTTTTTGATTTCATAAGATATAGAAAACTTGTTCGAGAGAAATCATCAACAAATAGAACAAAATATTTAAAAACCTTCCATTGATTCAGTTTGCAGGTCCCCATACATCGGTGTGTACCATTTCAAAAGGTTTTACTTGTCCTAGACATTGAATTACCAAAAGGTAGCCTAGTAAACTTAGAAAATTGACAAGTATCACAAGTAGGATAGGGGTTACAAAAAATTTGGAAACAGTTTCGACAAGACAAGTTCAGAGGGGTGAGCTAATCTCCTATGCCAAAGTTGGTTTTTCATCTATGGACTTCGATTGAGCTTGAAGAGCCTGAGTGAAACATGCATTCTTGCACAGGTAGTAAAGTCCATTTATGAAGACCCCTTCACCAATCATCTTCATGGTGAGAAACATCCTGAAACATTACTTTATTTGGTGAGAAAATAGCACGGCAGTTTTAGGGTGTTGGTGATCTTTCCAATTGACAAAAGTTGGAAGGGAAAAGGTTGGTACATAGAGGGCAGTGGAAGGTGTTTTTTGAGAGAGTAAGTTTATTTCTTCCTTTCCCAAAAACTAAGACATTTTTTTCCATTTGCAACAGACACATGTGAGGGGCTTGAAATTTTTTTTAAATGATGTAAATTTGTAACTTTGTTTGTCATATGATCTGTGGCGCCTGAATCAATTATCCAACAATCAATTTCAGTACTAGTTAATAGGGCAGTAGTAAAGGCTTTGAGTATACCTGATGCTTCTCCCTTTGGAAATTTCTCATTTCCAGCAAGAAATCCGGCAAATTGTCCCAACATAGCTGTGTGACTACCCTCTTCATTGCCTTGACCATGTGAGCCTCCTCCGTGCCCCTTACTTTGTAGGTAAGCTGCAAATTCATTGATCAATGACAATGGATTGGCAGTGAACTCCATGGATCCTTGTGAGATAGTAGGACTGTGAGCATTAGCAAGTTGTGCCTTGAAATGAGGTTGAAATTGTTGTGAGGACCTTGGTATCATCCTTCCATCTTTGCTGAACTTAGGCTTGAGTTCAGGATGAAGTTCCCAACACTTGTCTTCCTCATGACCAACACCATTGCAATATTTGCATTTTAGATGTGTGTTTCTTCCCTTGTATACCTTGGCTTCTGAGTTCTTGTACTTTGATGCATATGCCCGAGTCTCCGTTAATCTAGGATTGTGATCAACATTCATAACCTTCTTCCTTGCTTCTTCTCGTTGGATAGTTGCACAAACATTGTTGAAGGTAGGCAGGTCTTGACTCATCAAGATGTGGACTCCTTAGGTCCTCGTACTCAGAGCTCAAACTCCCTAACAGCTGATAAATTTTGTCTTCCTCAGCTCGTTTTAGGAGAATGGTAGGATCTGTGGTATGAGGGAGATATACATCCAACTCATTCCACATGGCTTTGAGGCTCCCAAGGTGTTGAACAAATGCTTTCCCTTCTTGTTGAGCACTGGCAATGTCCTTCTTTAATTGGAAGACCCGTGCATAGTTGTTTTGATTTCCATTCATATCCTGCAAAGCTTTCCAAAGATCATGTGCGGAATTGGAGTAGCTAAAAATTTCAGCAACATGTTTCTCCATGGTGTTGAGCAGCAAGGACATGACAAGTTAATCTTTGCAGAGCCATGCATTGTATGTAGAGGAAGAACTGTCTGGAGCTTCCACGCTTCCATTTACAAACCCTAACTTCCCTTTGCCTCCGAGAGCTAGTGAAACAGCTCGGGACCAAGGAAGATAATTGAACTCGTTCAAGAGAACTGAACACAAACGTTGATTGGTGTTAACCTCAACGTCTGAGAAGTTTGGAGAGAGATTGTGCCGGGTTTCCTCATCATGGTTCACAGAACTTTCTTCAGTCATGACTTAGACTTTGAAAGAAAGAAAAAATTGCAGCAGCAAGAATGGCAGAGACAGGTTACAAATGAACCTGCTCTGATACCATGTAGAATTTTTGATGTGTATTTCATGAAGAAACAATTACAAATGAAACATATATATAGGAAAAGAAAGTAGACATAAGCCTAACTTGCCTAACTTGCCTAATTTCCTAACTTGTCTAACTTGCCTAATTTACACAAAGAATGTTGACTAGCCTAACTTCACTAGTCATCCAACATGTTTATTTCATGCATGCATTTTAACACAAGATATGACTTGCATGGATTCTTCCAACAACACTTCACTTAATATCAAAATACGTCTTTTATGCCGTAAAAGTCACTTCTTTATAATACAAAAGCACATATTGGGGTGTTTGCCAAATAACAAACTACTTCTTCGTAAACGTGCTACTAACAAAAGTGTTTTATAGAGAAGCGCTCTCAAACAACCTAGTATTCGTCTAGTTTTATATATATTTCTTCCTAATAATAATGAAATATAGAGAAGTGCTCTCAAACAACCCCTAACAGAGAAATATTGAGATAAGAGAGGTCTTTTTTGGCAATTTGTTTCCCCTTTCAAAATTGATGATAAGTGCCTCGTGGTGTAAGAAGCATGGGATGATGACGACGATGGTGATGACGGATATGATTATGCCCCTGCAGCATACATAGAAGGTGATGACGATGACGATGATTCAAATTATGACTATGCTCCAGCAACATCTATGGAAGGTGATGATGACGACAACGATGATGGTGGTTATGACTATGCACCTGCTGCATACGAAATTAGTAGAAATTAGTAGTTTATTTTCATGTTTTTATGCCGGCTAACTAGCTTTGATGAATTGAGGAATTATAACGTGCTAGTAGGATTGCTCGATCCCTTCGAAATATTTTGTTAATGGTCGAACTATTTACGAAGTACGTTCAATTTAAGCCAATCAGTTGTTGCCTCTTATGACATTAATATATGGTTAAATGGAGCAAAATTGTGCAAGGTTAACTTGTTATTATTAGGATATACTGTTTCTTTCCTAGCATACTAAAAAGTACCACAATATATATGGAGAGGAAGATAACAGAATTCTTAGAGACTAATTAGTGGTCATGGGAGTGCAGAGATTTGTCAGTTTGTCAGATACACGGCTTGATACAACAAGTGTCATAATACAATTGGCTTAAAACTTTTTTTTAAAATAAAAAATTCAACCAATTGTATTATAACACTAGGCATATCGGGCCGTGTTTCTTACATTTTGAAAAAAATTCTCATATAAGTGGGCTCATGAAAAGTGTTATAAGCATGTTGTACTAATTAATAAGTTATTCTGGAATGATTAAACCCCAATTAATAAGAAAATTAAGAAGAAGAAACAAAGTAGCCACTTACTAGGAGAATTTTTTTTTTATGACGGGAACATAGATGGTACATCACGTGTTTTTATAGAAGCGATAGAAAATTTAAGTTATTAACTTTTTAACACACATCCCACTATTTGTATAATGACACATAGCGTACCACTTCGTGTACTAATTACACTAAAAAATCTCTCACTTACTAACAAAGGCAAGGAGAAAGCATAAGGTCGAATATTGAATTGGGATGTGAGTGGAGTGCACGTAGGCGTTCTTGTAAATACATGAGTGCATTGGCATTGCTCCATCCACTTTTTCCTTGCCCTGCCCGTCATGTGCCAAAACTGTATCACTCTAACCCTACTCTCGTCCTTCAACAATTCTAAATGAAGATGGATCTGTTCCGCTCTACAGTTCTACTTTTACTGTTGAATATGATCAACTGCTTGTAATTATTTTAAGAGTACTTTCAAACAATCATTAGAGTTTCAATAACTTTTTCTGTAAGTATGCACTATTAAGTCTCTCTAGACGCTAAAAATACGACAAAGACCGCACATGTATATAAACGGTGATCTCTTCTTTTCTCTTTGGAAGTATTTTCTAGGTAGAAAATTCTGTATTTTCTTATATTATAGATCCGTAGGCGACTAGACCATATGAAAATTGAAATTGTGTTTATCATATGATGACATGAAGTCAGTGCTACAAAGAATAAAGGGAGTTTTAACGAAAAACACACGGTTATCGGAACCATTTTTCTAATTCCTCTTGAGCTAATGTTACATTAAATAATAAATACCTAACATGTATGTCTTGAGCTAAATGATGTTACATAATCAAATAGTACTATACGATCATCGGAACCATTTTTCTAATTCACAATTTAAGAAAAACTCCTGCAAAAAATCAACCAAATGAGTAATAGTTTAACCACTGATTAAAGTTGTCAAAAATTTCAAGATTTATTGAATAACATAGTTCATATATTTATTACATATCTATCAGATTACTACACGGTTTCAGATTTGGTTAAATTTTAGTATTGTTCATGTTTAAAGGGTAACCTCGAAAATAAAAAGTTTAAATCATGTTTACAACATTACAAAATGAGAAACAAAACAAAAAAGATAGAGCGAGAAATTTAAATTTGAAATTTGCTAGTATTCGTTCATAAAATAAAGGATGACTATTCATTGTTTGTACCATAAGATTGAAAAGCAAACATGAGCCTTTTCTTTGATGTATAAAGCATATTGTTCCCACCACAAAACACGTTGCCATTTATCTCGATCGTATTCATGTATGAATCTTCTGCAAAACTTCGATCTTAGACGTTCAATTATCAGATAGTGGCATCGTGGTTCTTCACTGGAAACGTCCTTCCCTTAGTTTTTTTTTTTTCAAAAAGCGGCTCCTGAAAAATTCACCGTCCCATTATGTCGAAAAGCAGCTCCTATTTTACGTTGAATAAGAATTAGTTTAATCATTGATTAACGTTTATTAATTTTAGATTTTACTTAAATAACATAATTTATCTATTTATTATAAGAAAATGCTAAGGAAACTCTCTTAAAAATGAGACTCTCTATGGATTTTCCGCCATCTCATGTTTTTTGCACAATATTTTATTATGTTGGCACGAAAATTGTGTAAAAAACATGAACGACGGAAAGCTTATGAAGACCCCACTTTGAGAGTCTTCTTAGCATTTCGTTATTATATTACTGAATTTGGTTAAACTTTAGGGAAAGGGATCCTCTTCGATCGTTCCACCAAATCATCCTCATCAACTAATCTAGGCCTTTGAACTTTGATCCAACGGCTACAACAGGGGCCCACTTTAAAAGTTATAATAATTTTAGCCATTGAATCAAATTTTAAGGATCTGAATTGTTTGATTGGGAGGATTCGGTGGAAGGGATCAGGAGAGGATCCCTTTCCAAATTTTAGTATAATTGATCTTTAAGGAGTAATATCCAAAATGAAAGATTTAAATTACGAGATTGCAAAATAAAAAACAAAACAAAAACAAAGAGCGAAAAAATTTAAATGAGAATGTAACCAATATTGGTTCGGAATTAATGTAAGAGGAAATAGCCTTTTCTTTAACGTGAATAAAGCATCTTTCAGAGTTTCCAAGAGTCTTTTGGATAGTATTTTGTTCTTTCGGGTTCCTTTCTTAATTTCTTTTTTCCTCTCTCTTTCCATGCAACTCTCTGGATCCCTTCCTCCAAAGTTTACAGATCAAGTGATCCGAATCTTTGAAATTTAATCCAACGATTAAAAACAGAGAAGTTAGTAAACACTTTTAATAGTTACAATAATTTTTTACTGTTAGATCAAATTTCAAGAGCCCGAATCACTTGATATATGAACTTTGGAGGAAGAGATCCGGAGAGGATCCCCTTCCTTCTCAAGTCACTAACTAAACATTATTATATCATAAACTTTTGTTTTTGTCAGGATCTTGACTTGGGTTTAGGTATCTCAGTGTCATCGATTCAGCGACACAAACACAACCACAACCACAACCACTGCCATATTTTTCAGTCTTAATCTGAACCACTGCAGTGCCATAAGGGTGGATACCGCCATACAGCCCACGAAGCTTCCTCTTCATCCTCCTTCAAGTCAAAACTTTGGAATTCTATGGGTGAAGTGATTGTTACGACCACGAAGAAACGACGACTCCCAATAACAGTACATGATCATGATCCTCTGGGCCTAGCGCATTTACGTCTTTCCTTGTCTCTTGATACTCTCCCTGCAGGCCGTCATATTCGGCCTCACTCACGACAGCGTCACTCTCAACCTCGACCACGTCCTCATAATCTCCCAGTACTTCTCCAGCGGCAGCCACAGGATCCAGCGGTCAGTGACAGTCAATGGACGATGATCCTCTTGCGGGCCTTTGCATATCCTTCGCATGTCTTTCTTTGTCTCCTGATCATCAATCCACTTTCTCAGGCCACATTCAGCCGGACGCGTTGGCCTTTACCATTTGGAGAGAGCGAAAGGCTAATTAATCCCCTTCTCCTGATTTTCCTGAGACATTGAAGAGGACATGGGTTAATTACTGTGTGACAAACATATGAAGGAAAATATGCATGATTTAGATCTTTGATGAGGCAGGACCAAGCCATGATGCATCTATGATAATCATCCCAGTAATCAAAACAGAATTACTACAGATGACAGAAATGGAAAAAGGCAAAATTTTTGAAGTGAGAGCATCTTCTGTCTATATTAAGTCACACCCAGATCGATTCTATGGTGAGGCACAATCAAGCCGGTGATGCATAGTCATCATCAGCTCATCCTCATCATCACATATCCGAGTTTATGGACTACAGATCACTGCCAGCTTCACCATCAGCAACTCAATATTTCATACTTCTTTCAGATTCTTATGATTTTTCCACTAATTGTTTTGAATTTTGAAGATATATTGCATCCTGGACATTTCAACATTACAAAAACCGATATAAGAAACGCTTCTAATGACCCACTCGAATTCGCAAAAATACCTGCCCTCCAAGTGCACCCAACGTTTTCTAGTCAAATGCACGTTCTCATTTTACCAGCGTAACCATACTTAATAGTCAACGCTGGACATTACATAATCAAGTTACTTTTAACCATACTTAAACCGAGTACATACCGCATATATGATAAATACAATTTCATGGAGATAAAAGCAACTCTTTTCCATCTCTAGTTTAATCTATCATTTTCAGGTTTGGGACATGGTAGGTAAATTCAAGCTAGGGGATCAAGTCTATTCATCCCTAAGCTTACTCACCAGTTCCCTCCCATATGGATAGATTTGGCCCCAGTTTGGGGTTGAGGTGATTTTAAAAAAAGCTCCTATGAAAAAAAGCTGGGAGTGTTTTTGGTGTTTGGTAAACTTAAAAAAAATGGCTTATTTTGGAAGCTGCTGTGAGAATAAGCTGAAATCAAAGGAAAAAGCTGAAGCTGCAATTTGTAGCTTTGGAAAACTGGCTTTTTTTCAAAGCACACATAACTACAGTGCTCCTTTAATGAAAAGACCCACTATCAGACTGCTTTTTTTTCCAAAAGCACTTTTACAAAAAAGTTTACCAAACACTCTGCTGATTTATTTCACAGCCGCTTATTCTCACAGCACAGCCGCTTATTCTCACAGCAGCTTTTTTTCAAAGCACAGCAATACCAAACCAGCCCTTGGTCTGATAACATCCTTGGTGTTGACCAGGAACACATCACCAATGTAATGATGGTTCGTGGGAACATAAACACAACACAACTCTTCATCTCCAGAATAGCTCTTCAAAATAATTTTGGGGACAAGGAGAAATAAAGTCACCATTACAAACAGTCTGAAAAACCAATTACGTTTAAAAGCACAACCTGTACAACATCATTTCATCTGTTGTGTTCTTGTTTTTCACAATGAAAAGTTATTAGCATGCCTGAAGGACAACGGATGAAGTGATGAACCCGAATGCATGTTCACAAATCCAGGACCTAACATGTATATGGAAGATGAAAGGTCAGTTATACATTGTACAACCAAAACAAAGCAGAATCACTGATAACGTATGTTTTGACTGTAAACCAGGCATTATATAATGAATGTGAAAGAAGCATGTAGTGTCATATGCTGCATTACGGGTATATTTCTTGTCTAAATCCAACATTGACCATACCATATGTGATGCAGGAGCCAAGTTAATAAATTAGAGTCCTAGTGTCTGATGTACTAAATGCAGTTTACACATGTACTCTGCAGGTTCATTGTCTTTGAGTCTCTCTATGTTACAAGCATCAATGTATTAGGTGTTCATAAATTAGTCTTTAGAATTCCAAGTATATTAATGTGAATCTGTCCAGGTCCATGTACAAATTAGCTTATAAAAGGAGCTACTTTGTAAGCTTTTGGATTTCTTGCTTATGTGTGAAGCACAGGTTGACTTGGAGTGATTCCAAATTTCCAAGTCAACTTCGGTGTGATGCCAGAATTTGTCCAATTGCTCTAGTGGAGTGATTCAACTCCGCCAGTGTAAGTCTATCTTACATTGCCGGTCCCAAGTCCGGATAAAGGAGGAGGGGGAGGACGTCAGGTAGTCGACAGCTGGCACTCCATGATTACGTCGAATCCTTATGAAAATGAATCCAGAACGAAATCGCGCTAAAGCTAGGGCGTCACCCGTAAGTGGCGCGCTGTGTGGCCCGAGTACAATGATAAGTGAGTAAGGGTCGCTGTATCTTCATCGGCACCCGGATGAAGTGTTAAATGAGCAAGGGGGCTATAGAAACTTCTTTTCGAACGACTCCACTCAAAGTTGTTTGGGAGCATATGCTCCTATCAACTTTACACGGGACACACAAAAGAAGTACTTTGATCCTATTAGACGGGGGAGGGTGAAAAAGCTAGGACAGAAGGGTAGGGTTCAAGAGAGCAAAATGCGTTTAGGAACGTGGAATATAGGAACCTTGACGGGAAAATCTATGGAAGTAGTGGAAGTTATGGTGAGAAGAAGGATAAATATTATGTGCCTACAAGAAACTAAGTGGGTTGGTCGTAAGACAAAAGATCTAGAAAATTCAGGGTTTAAACTATGGTATTCGGGCACAAATAGAACGAGAAACGGTGTTGGCATCATCGTGGACAAGACCTTGACACAAGATGTTGTAGATGTTAAGAGGGTAGGAGATAGAATTATGGCAATCAAGATTGTAATAGGACAAGAACTTATCAATGTGATTAGTGCGTATGCACCTCAAGTAGGGTTGGATATGAGTTCAAAGGAGAAATTTTGGGAAGACCTTGGAGACTTGGTGCAAGGAATTGCTCAGACGAAGAAGTTATTTATAGGAGGAGATTTAAATAGACACGTGGGCAGGGAGACAGGCAACTATGGAGGTTTTCATGGTGGCCATGGTTTTGGGGAGAGAAACGAGGATGGGGAAGCTATTTTGCAATGGCATATGATCTCTTCTTAGCCAACACCTTCTTTAAGAAGAGAGAAGAACATGTGATCACCTACAAGAGTGGGTCGTCAAAAACACAAATAGATTTTCTTCTAATAAGGAAAGGGGATCGTATAACTTGTAAGGATTGCAAAGTTATACCAGGAGAGAGCGTGGCTAATCAACATCGCTTGTTGGTGATGGATGTACATATCAAAAGAGTGAGAAAAAAGAACAAGACTTGGAAGTGCCCAAGGACTAGATGGTGGAATCTAAAAGAAGAAAAACAAGCCATTTTCAAAGAGAAAGTAATCACCCAGTGTGTGTGGGATAGAGAGGGGGAAGCTAACCAAATGTGGGATTCCATGGCTAGTTGTATCCGAAAAGTAGCAAAAGAGGTATTAGGAGAGTCCAAGGGCTTTGCCCCACACCAAAAGGAATCTTGGTAGTGGAATGAGGAGGTACAAACAAAGGTGAAGGCTAAGAAGGAATGTTGTAAAGCCTTATACAAGGATAGGACTGATGAAAATGGTGAAAGGTATAGAAAAGCGAAGCAAGAGGCGAAGAAAGCTGTGAGAGAAGCTAAGTTAGCGGCTTATGACGATATGTATAAGCGACTAGATACCAAAGAAGGAGAGTTGGATATCTATAAACTAGCTAGAGCAAGGGAAAAGAAGACAAGGGACCTAAACCAAGTGAGGTGCATCAAAAGATGAGGATGGAAAGGTTCTTGCTACAGAAGAGAACGCGGTTAAAGACAGATGGAAAGGTTATTTTCATAATCTTTTCAATGAAGGACATGAAAGGAGTGCTTCTTTAGGGGAGTTGAGTAACTCAGAAGAGTGTAGAAACTACTCTTTTTATCGTAGAATCCGAAAGGAATAAGTGGTTGTAGCTTTGAAGAAGATGAAGCATAGAAAAGCAGTAGGCCCAGACGATATACCAATCGAAGTGTGGAAAGTTTTGGGAGAGACAGGTATAACATGGTTCACTGACCTTTTCAATAGGATTTTGAAAACGAAGAAGATGCCAAATGAGTGGCGAACGAGCATTTTGGTGCCTATCTACAAGAATAAGGGCGACGTACAAAATTGCATGAACTATAGGGGTATTAAGCTAATGAGTCATACAATGAAGCTCTGGGAGAGAGTCATTGAGCATAGATTGAGGCAAGAGACACGGGTTTCGGACAACCAATTCGGGTTCATGCCAGGGCGCTCAACCATGGAGGCAATCTATCTCTTACGAAGATTGATGGAAAGATATAGAGATGGGAAAAAGGATTTACACATGGTCTTTATAGATTTGGAAAAAGTGTATGATAGGGTCCCAAGAGACATTCTTTGGAGGATTTTAGAGAAGAAAGGAGTACGAGTATCATATATCCAAGCTATAAAGGATATGTATGAAGGAGCAAAGACTGCCGTAAGAACTCATGAAGGACAAAACCGAAAGCTTTCCCATAACTGTAGGATTACATCAAGGCTCATCCTTAAGTCCTTACCTTTTTGCGTTGGTAATGGATGAGTTAACAGGACATATTCAAGATGATATTCCTTGGTGTATGCTTTTCGCAGACGATATAGTGTTGATAGATGAAACTTAGGAAGGGGTAAATGCAAAGCTTAACCTTTGGAGAGAAGTGTTGGAATCTAAAGGTCTCTTCGCCTAAGCCGATCAAAGACAGAATATATGGAGTGCAAGTTCAGTGCAAATGGAGGCCAAAACGAGTTAGGGGTGAGGATCGGAGATCAAGAAAATACCAAAGAGCGACCGTTTTCGTTACCTAGGATCTATCTTGCAAAAGAACGGAGAATTAGATGGAGATCTCAACCATAGAATACAAGCTGGATGGATGAAGTGGAAGAGTGCATCCGGCGTGTTGTGTGACCGCCGTATGCCACTGAAGCTCAAGGGAAAATTTTATAAGATGGCAATAAGGCCGGCGATGCTGTATGGCACAGAATGTTGGGCGGTGAAGCATCAACACGTACACAAAATGGGTGTAGCGGAGATGAGGATACTTCGTTGGATGTGTGGGCACACGAGAAAGGATAAGATTAGGAATGAGGATATCCGGGGTAAAGTAGGAG